CCGCAGCTGGGCCGGGCCAGTGTCTCGTGGCAGAGAGCTTCTCAGGCCAGGAGAGTAGTGACTGGGAGGGGAGGGCGAGGGGCAGGTCCAGCCGACGGAGCTACAGCAGTGGGATGAAAGAGCTTCATTTATCTGGGAACCTGAAATGACTCTTGATTTAAATCATATGGTAAAAAGCACCCAAAAAAGAAAGAACAACATTAGCAAAACAACAACAACAACAACCCCAACCCTCACCTGTTTTTGGAAATGGTTCAAGAGGGAACACATACATATGCACATGAGAGAGAGAGAGAGAGAGAGAAAGGGAGAAAGATAAGAGAGAGAGAGGAGAGACAGATTGAGAAAGGAGAAAGAAAAGGAGAAAGGGAGAAAGAGATGAGAAAGACAGAAAGAGATCAGGGAGACGGAGAAATGAAGGAGAGGGAGAGATGAAAGAAAGATGAGAGAGACGGAGAAAGAGAAGAGGGAGAGGGAAAAAGAAAGATGAGAAAGATGAGAGAGAGACAGAGAGAAAGAGGAGAGGGAGAAAGAGATGAGATAGATGTGAGAGAGGGAGAAAGAGAGACACAGAGAGAGATACCCGTTTCCCCACAGAAAACACCAGGAGCCACAAAGCCTGGGTAAGTGTGACTGTGGGGATCATGTGACTGGGTGGGTGGGACTGGGGAGTGATGTTGAGTTGACCACACCAATCCAGGTTTTGTGGCTCCTGGGTTTTCCTGTGGGAAACGGATCCAAATAACTCTTTGAGTGTTTAAGGTTTCAGACCCCTGGTTTAATTCCACACAATAATGTAAACAGTACTCTGACTGGAGGTTGTAAATCAAGCAGGAGTATACTTGCAAGTCATAAGACTTGTAATTCCTAAGAAGAAACAATAGGGGCCTCCAGAAGCAAACTCGAAATCTACCAGGTTGTATTCTCCAGTTTTCAGAGTGTTTTTATGGAAGTCTGTAATGATTCTCAGTCATCCAGGTCATGGTTGTCACGTTTTTATGGAACTAAAACAGAAGGAGTGAGCTGCAGCACTGCAATTGAAGTCCCTGTCAGAAGACCATTGGAAAAGAAGTCTAGCATTGGTTCTATTTTTGCCTTTAGGGCAAAAGGTTTAGGAGTTGACTGAGATGCTGAGTGATGATGTGTGAATATATAGTATATGGAAAGTTTCTTCCTTGGAAAGCTCTACAGAGATCCTCTTCAAAAGTTGCTGTGTATTCTTACAGTCCTTTTAAGGGCACAGAACCACAGTGCCCAGCATCTCTCATTCTTGGTCAGATTGGCCGGGACTGTCGTAAATTGCAGTTCAGTAATTTCTGTAGGCCCACAAATCACCGATTAAAATTTAATTATTAAAGATAACCAACTTTTGTATCAAAGTATAAAAAAGCTTTGATATTGCAGCCTTTAGACAAATGAACTAGTTGTAATGTGGCGTTTATGATTATTTGAGTTTGAGATCCCTGATCTAAAGGTTCAAGAATGGTAGCTGTTGAATTGTTGGAACTCAAATATGTTTTGAAAATATCTGGTACAAAATATCTGAAATGTCCATCAACATGTAACTGTAACAACAGCTGTTTAGTGTTTGAAAATAGTCCTTGTTTAACAACCCCATTTGGAACTGGAAACTCCATCACTTAAGTGACATGGTTGTTAAGCAAGACCTCACATGATCACAACTTATGATTTTACTGCCAGCTTCTCCTTGACTCTGCTTGTCAGAAGCCAACTGTGAAGGGAGCAAATTATGATAATGTGACTATGGGATGCTTGTATGGTTATAAATGCCTGCTGGTGCCTGAATCTTGATCACATGACCACAGAGATGCTGTGAAAATTGTAACTGCAAGGACCAGTTGTAAAGTTATTTTTCAGCACTGTCATAACTTTGGACGTTAAACAAGGCAGTTATAAGTGACAGCTACCTACAGCATTTTTTAGCCTTTAGATCCCGATTAGGAGAAACTTTAAGCAAACATTTTTCATTTTAAAAAAACCATTTTTTAATCTAAAGTTTCAAAAGAGAAGTGTAGCCTAAGGCATATAATTCAAATAGACAGGAATTTGTTACAGTTTTTCTGAAGTCTTATTCTTTGTATATCTGCTGACTAAGGAGACTTTGGGATGTTAAAATGAATGTTAAAGTACAGGATGTGAAAGAGCATATGTTTCCTATGCAAAAGTAACAACAGCTTTAAATAAATGTTTTGTTTGAAAATGATGACATTGCTGTAATTGGCTTTAAGATGTGACAATATTAATTGCTGTATTAGGGTAGAGAAGGAGAAACAAAAGGCAAATGTCATGCTTGAAATCACTAGGAAAAGAATTGAAAGTAGAACTGCTGATACAAAAATGTCCTTACACAAATTTATGATGAGATTATATTTTTTGTGTATAGCTCTGACCATTGCATCTTAAAAAGGCTATTATAGCACTAGAAAACAATGGAAAGAAGAAGCAACCAGAATGATTAGATGTCTGGAGCAACTCCTCTATGGGGTTAGACTACAGTAATTGTGGGTTTTGGACTGGAATGAAGATGGATCAGGGAGACAGTGACTGGGGTTTATACAACCACACAGGACATACTTAAGCTTGAGAGAGGAAAGTTTGGCTCCAACAAACATAGTGTTAGAATTCAAGGTCATCCACTGAAACTAAATGCAGAGAGATAATAACCTTCATAAATAAATTTTTCACACATTATACTGTATAATTAAACTTTGTAATGTGCTATGATTGGCCATATAGGAAAACCTTAAAATTTTGTGTAGAATTAGACCATTAATTATTATTATTAATTGTGTATGTGTTTGTGTGCATATTTTTTAAGAATGTTGGTTATAATAGCAAAATCTAATACAAACTAAACTTAAGAGAATAGAAAAGAGTAAAAACTGCAAGAAAAAAGGAAAAGATAAGTAATGCAATAAAGAAAAGGAAAAGAAATATACAGGTGGTCCTTGATTTACGATTGGTCACTTAATGCCTGACTGAAATTACGATGGACTCAAAGTTACTTAGGGCCTATCTTTGAAGTTAAGACTGCTGTACCGTTTCTGCAGTTAGCGTGATCACATTTTGGGCACTTGGCAATCGGCTTGGATTTAGAACTGGTTGCATCTTCCCGCAGTCACATTTTATGACATTTTGGCATTTTCTGGCAAAACCCAGCAAAAACTCCTGTTGAACAAAATGAGTTTGCAGTTACAACCATGTGGTTCACTTATCCATCAAAAAACGGTCATAAAATCATGTTTAGTCAAATGGTGCCTTGATTTATGAAAGCAATGACTTACAACCAAAATTCCAGTCCCAATTGTGATAGTAAATTAAGGATTACCTGTATAAAGAAGCAACTTCCAACTTTTATGACAAGTATAAACAAATTTAGTGACTCTTTACCCCCTCTGAAATTACAAATATTTATTTCTTCAATCCATATCCCATCTCTTATGTATAAACACATTCATAAACACCATCTTTTCAGTCCTGGTGTCAGCAGGAAATTCATAAAGAGTTGCCAGAAGTAAGAACATGTTTTATTTTAACCTTGATCAAATAAGCCAACTTTATATTCCTTTCCTTTACTTCTAACAGTCCTGATCTTTAGTTCATTCAGATGTCATAGGATTTGATTTCTCTCCATCAATTCTTTGTCCCATCACACAGACATCTTCAAGGCTTTAAAACAAGCCTCTTTTGTAAATTCAGTAGGAAAAATTAACCAGGTTATTCTCTTGATTTGTCATATTTATTTTATTTTATTTATTTTATTTTATTAGATTTCTATACCGCCCTTCTCCCAAAGGACTCAGGGCGGTGTACATGCCATTTCTGGGAAAATAGGGAAGGGGAAGGGAAAAAAAGTATAGGGGAAAGGGGAAAAGAAAGAAAAGCATGAACCTCCAACTTTATTTGGCTCAGTAGAATAAAATAATAACATGCAACCTCAGCTTTTTACTTTTACATAATATATGTAAGCCATTTCTATAACAAAACCCTTTCTAATGGACTATATGTAGATTTTGACACACAGGTTGCCACACAAGTGATAATCCTAAATGTATTCAATTGTGTCAGTGGAATTATGGTATCTTTAATAATTGATCTTTGCTCAGATTTAATATATTGTAACAAATAATACATTACGACGATAGTTTCATATCTATAGTTGTCATCAATAAGTGTTGTTGCACTTGCACAAACAATAATGGAGCCAATAATGACTCCATGTGTACCAGTGAACATACCTTTGCATGAGTGCTACTTTTTTGTGAATGGATTTTCTTGTGTTCAAACTGACTATGAAATGAAGCGTGTACAAAAAGTGCCTGTAAGAGAAAGAAAACCAAGAGATCACAGTAATTCACTAATAAATAGAAGAGTTGAGTTGTTGTAACATTTTATTGTGCCATAGCCAATTAAGTAATCTTGTCTCATGATGTGTAACTACCATGATTTTACATGACATATTGCCTTGTAAGGTTTTCCTACTGTAAACTGTATCAACTGAACACTTAAAGCGATTGGGATTAGTACATGATGTAAATTAATACTATTAATAGTGTGATTTTGAAAATGTGTGGGCTGAAACTTACTATTCTGCAAAAGACTGAAATGAAATAGGACAAAAAGAATAAATAATTAATATCTTAAGTAATGCTTCATATATTTTACATTAAAGCCCTACTGGATTTGTGTTTCAGAACAACTTGTCAAATCTTAAAGATAAAATTTAGCAGAAATCTCTTTCAGCATAAGCAGTTCTATGTCATAGGCTCAGGCTACTCATAATATTTTGTTGTATCTTACAGTACTTGTTTCATTTAAAAGGGAATCTATTACCATTTTGACTTTGTAGTTAAGTTAATTCTATGCAAATACTCATATCTTTAGTTTATGAATGTTTAGCTAAATGTACTAATCTATTATAATTTTAAAATTAAGCAGTTTGGAAAATTGATCAATAATATATTATTATATCTTCTTAGCTGTCAAGTGCAAATTCGGTATATGAAAAATATTATCGTCAGGTAAGTGTAAATTTGTCTTCTTTGCTTTTATTTTAAAACAAAATAATTTCTCATTTGTTTGTTATGGTTAAATGTCTTAAATACTGTAGAATAAACTTTTGTAGTTTATAGAGTAAGCGTTTTAAGTATGCTAAAAGTTAATTTTATATCTTAACACCAATTAAAACTTTATTATTGCTGAAAAGATTTGTTTGTATACAAAGTTTATCAGTACTAATGGTACTTTATGCCCCTGTGCCTAAAGAGATTTTTTAGGTTAAATATGCAAGAATTTAAAAAGAAAGATCTATTGCTTTGAGAATTATGCTGTTTAAATGACACAGTGTAAACATTTGAGTACAGTGAGTATAATGTGTAGAAATTTTTAGGTCTATAAAATCACAGAGAGTGTCGATAATAATTTGAAAACTAGTTTGTGCAGTGAGTCTATTCATATCCTTCTGCTTGCAGACTCTGCTGTATGCTTCAATTATATTGGCCCTTTCTCTGGACTTTAGAGCAAAGCACAAAGTTACTCTTTTCCCTTCCCTTCCCTTCCCTTGACTTTTTTATTTGATTTCTTTACCATCCTAGTCCAAGGGATTCTAGGTACTGTACATACAATTATAATTAAAACAGTTACAAATAATGCTTCAGAATAATACAAAGTTCAACAAAATTGATATTCTGCAAATTTCTGTGTGGCTCATTTGGAGTCTGGAAGCAGTAGTGAAAACCAAATTGATAGAAGGTAGTGGCTTTCAAGATACCAGCTTTCAATTTTTTTTATTATTTTAAGAAATTAGGCAGAAAGCTGGAACATACTAAGGTAGGTGACCTATGAGTTCAAATTGAGACCTCAGCCTTAAGAATTATATCACTTTCATCTATGGAGATTATATAGATACTAGAATGTGAGGCATCTTGAAATAGAAAACTGTCTTGGAAGTGAGGGGTCCTTGCTGCTCTCTGAGCTTGATTGTTTCTAGTACAGATGATGTTACAGGGTTTGGGAATGAAACATCAACAAGAAAACAACCAGTATATATTTAGTATATTGACTCTAGGGCTGTGATGGCGACCCTATGGCACACATGCCCAAAGTGGCATGCGAAGCCATGTCGCTCAGCATGCATGGCCTTCCCTGTTTGTCTTCGGGGTTTCTGGTGCGCATGCGCACATGACGATCAGCTTCGCACGTGCGGCAGTGCCGAAAACCGGCTTGCACATGCACGCCAGCTAGCTGATCGTTGGGCTCGCATGCACGCTAGAACCCGGAAGTTCGGCTTTTCCAGAGCATGGCCCCGACGTGCGCGCACACATGCGTGTCCCATTTCTGCACAACCTTTTTGGTGCCGAAAAGGTTCACCATCACTGCTCTAGGGCATGTAAAACTTGAGAAGCAATTATAACATCTGGGAGCTGGTTATATGTATTTGAACATTATTTGCTAAAAGTTATCATAGACATAACTTTTTGTAGCTGTATATATATAATGCTATGATTTCAGCATATAGTGTATATGGTCCTACAGAATTGTGTATGCAACATGATTAAATATTCCATAATTCTTTATTATCTGAGCTAATAAAGTTTTGTTTAAACCATATATTTTAAAGAATTGCTTGTTTTAATCAGTTGTATGGCCTCTTTTGGCAGGTTGATCCTAGTAATTCTGGAAGAGTGTTGGCTTCTGATGCAGCTGTCTTTTTGAAACAATCAGGACTAACAGATTTGATACTTGGGAAGGTATTGATATGTTCAGATAAGGGGATAATCATCTATCTTGGCTTTACAAAAATAAAAATTGTGACTTGCAGAATCTTTTACATTTTACAGATTTAGTTGTTAATATAATTCTTACTGGTATTATCCTATGCTGGTCTACAACTAAAATAAAGATTGATCCCGCATATAGTGCTATTCTGTTAACATTTTTTTTTAATGTTACAGAGAAGTTATAGCTTCATTTCTTTAATCAGTGGAATTTAATTTTTGATAGATAGATAGATAGATAGATAGATAGATAGATAGATAGATGAAAATATATATGAAATATATATGAAAATGTATATATATAATATTATTATAAAATGGAATTAATCAGTGGAATAACTGGCTTCCAGACGTTGTGGGTGCTCCAAATGCTTGTCCAATCTTTTAAAGAAGAGATTAGACAACCATTTGTCTGATATGGTATAGAGTTTCCTGCTTAAGCAGGTGGTTGGACTAGAAGACCTTCAAGGTCCCTTCCAGTTCTGTTATTCTTAAAAGTAATCATTTTAATTTTAACCAGTGTTTCCAATATTGGGTGTCCAGGAGTATTCAGTAGCTGCATATTGAAAATGAAATTACTTGACTACATGGTATGAAAGTTTCTCTTAAGATTTAGAGTAATCTAAATATCTTTTTAAATGCATAGAAGATATTTAACATTTAAAGATATTCAAAAACTATAAAACCTGATTCTGATTGAGCTCTAATAATTGTAATATTGTAATCTCTGTTAGCTAAGATTAGACAATTAAATTTTATTGTATTGAAACTATTGCCAATAATAAATATAACATTTTAAAAATAGATTGATTACATGAATAAAAGAAACTTTCTGCCATCACTTCACATGCTTCCTTTATCTAACTATATTTTAGGTTTGGGATCTTGCTGATACAGATGGCAAAGGTATCTTAAACAAACAGGTAAGATATATTTTCTTCTGAATATAAATACAGTTATGAAATAGCAACAGAAAAAACATCTCTCCAATATTTTAAAGAGGTTCCTATATCTGATTATAGTGTGAACATCTGTCTTTATTTTCTTAACAAGGTAGGGGAGCATGTGTAGAAAATAGCCTTGAATTTTTTTTCTAATCATTTTACAAGCAGTGACTTTAGGAAATATATGTATTTATTTATTTATTTAGCATATGGCATATTGTACATGGACTAGCAATATATAGTAACAAATCACTTAGATTAGTAAAATGCTATAAAATATAAATCTGTTCAAAGATTTATATCTCTAGGCCATCTAACCATTGAAGCACAGCATCGTTTATATTTAAAAAATCAGATATTGCCTTCAGCTTAGAGCCAGTCACAATGTTATGTACAATTTGAGGTGGGACCCTTCCCCCCCCTCCGTCACAATATGGGGAGGATACTATGCCCCATTTATACAGAGAGTGCCGGCTGATGCTGTCTGAGGTGTAAATCCTATTCAGGATTGTCCATTACTGACGTAGTAGTTCAAAGTCTGGCACCTTTTTTTTGTGGGGTCACTTATATGTCTATCTATGTCTGGGCGTTCAGTGTTAAAGTTGTTGGGCAGATGTTGTGTAAGTGCCAGTGGGGACTTCCTGGATTTGAGTCCTCCAGCTGTATATGTAGTTGCTTCTGGGTAATAAAGTAGCATTTCCACTTTCCCCTCATCTTGTTTCTGTGTGTATGTGTGCATGCATGCTTGGAAACACAGATGAATTGTCTATGCTCTGCAGTGAGTCACATAATCAGGAGGGAGCAGGCATAGATTGGAGCAGTCAGCAAACTTCTGAGAAATTACTTAACTGCCTCTCCAGTAGGAATGCACTGGGGGTAGAGAGTCTGGAATATTTTGACCTCTGCTTGGCCACTGTATTATATGAGCACTCACCTTAATAGACCTTTGACCTGATTCAGCATAACTCTTACAGAAAAGAAGATGGACAAAGATGCAAATAAAACTTCTCATTAAGTTTCATTAAGTCTGCACTCCTTGTTATGTTGAGCCTAATACCGTGATAGCGAACCTATGGCACACGTGCCACAGGTGGCACACGGAGCCATCTCTGTGGGCATGCACCCGATGCCCAGGTCAGCTCCACCATGCATGCCCGTGCGCCTCCCTCTGGCCAGCTGATTTTCGAGTCTCTGCCGAGAGACATGCGCACATGCGCGGGGATGGGAGGGTGTGGCGCCTTTCCACACCTGTTCTTTGTTCCAGGAGGCTTCAGGGAGGCCTGCTAGCACAAAAACGGAGGGTTTTGGGTTTTGGTTAAAGGCGGCTTCCAGCAGGCCTGCTAGCACCAAAATGGGAGTCACATGCACGGGGGCGGGGGGAGCATGGGGAGGTCACGCATGCACGGGGGTAGAGCCTGCGGAGCGGCATTGCATTATAAGTGTTGGCACGCACGCGTACTTTTGGCACCCGAGGAAAAAAAGGTTCGCCATCACTGGCCTAATAGATGGGAACAAAATACATTGAGCATTGTGTATTATTAAAAGTCTCTAAAACAAAAGAGAAAGATTACAAGCTAAATAATAATAAATTATACAATTAAGCCTTTTGGAAAATGTGCAGTTTCTCATAGTATAGCATAGAAAAGTTTATAAACAGACAAGAAATTCTGTTAATTACATGAGCCCTCTGCATGCCTTCCTCTTCCAATTTATACTTTAAAAACTATTTAGGGAACAAATCCCATTATTTTGCAAACAAAGTATTTTGGAAAACAAAAACAAACTTCAATTCATATCAATGCACAATGCAGTGCATAAAAATAATTTTAATGTTTCTGATTTGAATGAATCATGCAATGTCTATAAAACTGTTTTATGTTACTTTCTTTTTCCTTTATAGGAATTTTTTGTGGCTTTACGACTTGTAGCCTGTGCACAAAATGGATTGGATGTTTCGCTGAGTAGTCTTAACCTGCCTGTCCCTCCACCTAGATTTGTAAGACACTTTTAAAAAATTAGTTAATCCATTACACTACAACAGAAAACTGTTCACTGACTTGCATAGCATGCACTCACAACAACTTTAAAAATGTTATGTAATTGTGTATGTCTGGATTGTGCCTTAATTGTTTAATGATGGAAGATTTTTTTTTCAAACGTTTATTTTATTAAAAAAAAAAAAAAAAAAGGTAAACCTACAAAACTCCAAAAGATTAAAAACAAACAAACACAAACACACAGCAATAAGACATTTAAAAAATGCATTGGAAAAAAAAAGAAAAACTAACACCTATAAACATATTATCCCTCCTAGTTGAATATTGATTGATACATTACCACAATATTAATTTACCACCCTTTGCAAAATAGGCTCAAAAGATTTTTAAATTACTAAATCAATTTGCAAATTAATAGCATGTCATCTATATACTATATTAATGACAAAACAGTTAACAGGGAGAACAATAATGATAAAAAAAGGCAAGGTAAAAGTTTCAGAAACCTTTGTTAACAACTGTTATTGTAACCAGCTTGTAGAAAATTTTGTCATCTTATCATCCCAAATCATCCCAAAAATTAACGGTAATTCATCCTGGATCAAATATCCATGTTTGTTTTTTTAATTCCATCTTCTATCAAACTACTGTGGCCGAAACTAATGCTGTTCAGTCCATGCAAATCACTACATACATTATTCCCTTAGTATAAATATCTGCTACCCTCTCTGCCCTTTAATCACAATTTTTTTTTCTGGATTTACTAATTGTTTTTATATCACTGTTGTATAGTTTTTTACTCTGTGCTGTCCAGAGTCATGAGATGACCAGTCATAAACCGGTAATAATTAATGAATGAATACATACATACATACATGCAGAACATAAGCAGACTCAAGATTGGAAAAAGGATGACCAAAGTTGTTTGATCTGAAAGAGTGATTTAAACCCTGCATCAGATAGGGTTTGATTCTTAAGTTCCACATAATTTTGAAATTTCAGCAATTATCTAGTTCCTAAATCTAAGGTTTTATTTCAAGAAGTATAAAGATTTGTGATTATGCTTGTCCCAAAATCTACACTTCGAAAATTGCTTATGTGCATGATTGTTTTTTCACAGAATTCTTTTCTAGTTGCAAACTGGCATTATTCAGTGAGTTTATGCAATTTCTCTTTTCTGTGAACTCTTGCATTTCTAGGAACTTTATTTTTTCTAATGTCAGAAAAAAAATGTCTAGTTTTCTTATTAGAAGATTTTGTTCACAGCAGTTTATCTTTAGAATGCTCTGTATATCATTTATTTATTTTATTTTATTTTATTTTATTTCTATACCGCCCTTCTCCTGCGGGACTCAGGGCGGTGTACAGCCAAGATAAAACATAGCATATAAAATTTTAAAAAACAATTTAAAAAACAATTAAATAATTTTGGCCCAAAATTTAAAACAACCCAATTAAAACCGAATTCAATTAAAAAACTGAGAGGATGGGATCAAGCCAGCCCGGCTAGATGGAATAAGTGTGTTTTCAGGGCCCGACGAAAAGTCCGGAGGTCTGATATCGTGCGTATCATAGGGGGCAGGACATTCCAGAGGGCAGGTGCTGCCACAGAGAAGGCTCTCCCCCTGGGGGTCACTAGCCGGCACTATCTGGCCGACGGCACCCTGAGGAGGCCCTCTCTGTGTGAGCGAACCGGTCGGTGGGAGGCTATTGGCGGCAGAAGGCGGTCTCGCAAATACCCCGGCCCTAAGCTAATCATGGCTGAGTTGTAAAAATAATTTCTGGCAGTTACCACTTATCCACCAATTTTCTCCACTCTGTACCAGAGCAATTCTTGGATCCTGTCTTCTGCAGAATATTATCATAATTCTGCATTTTCCAGTTTTTGTAGCAATTGAGAGAAACCTTCATTATGTCAATTTACCATTCAAAGTTCATAACTGCAGGATAGTGGCCCATCTTTCTCATGCACATTAAATAAATAAGAAGACATTTGGTAGGATGGCTTTTTTTTATGCTATAGCATGGTTAATGACAGGTGGCATAAATAATCTAAAATAATCCTAGCAGCCTATTAAGAAAGATCCAAACACATGCCTGTAATAACCTGGAATGATTGGCTTACAATGTATATATACAGATGTATATATACAGTTTAGGAGAGAAAGATAATTCATTTAAATATTTGAATTATTTTCTTGTGATCGAATGAGGTATTTGAATATGAGTAGAAATAAATGGTGGCACTGAATGTGAAAAAACAGGTTTATAACAAGCAATTTAAATAATACAAAATAGATATTTAAAACAATCTTTTTTATTTTCTTTCCTATTAGAATGATTCCACAAGTCCATTATTATGTGGCGGAGCTCCACCTGATATCCCTTGGGCTGTTAAGGTAAATAAATTAATTGTGCTAAAGCAAATGCTCTCAGTAAATATGCTTCATGGTATCAGATTCTTTCTAGAAAAGGTTTTCCACTTTCCTTGTTTTATGCATTTTTTTCAGAACAAAAGCCAGTTTGGTATAGTGTTTAAAGTGCTGGTCTAGAAATCAGAAGACTGAGTTTTAGTCCTGCATTAGGCATGAAAGCCAGCTGGTCCAGTCATTTTCTCTCAGCTCATCTTCCCCACAGGATTGCTTTTGTTGTGGCGAAAGTAGGAGGAGGAAAGAAAACTAGATATGTTCACTGCCTTGAGTTGCTTATAAAGTAATAAAGGTGGGATAAAAACCAAATAAAATCAATCTAACTCGGCAAACAGGTTTCCTTTTTTTTATGATGGTGCCTTGCTGTGTTGTGATTTGGCAACTAAGCATAAAACCATAACCATTTCACATGTATTGGATACTTGGAAATGTGAGGGTGTTGCTTAGTTCTTGATCATGTATGAAACCATATAACAGATATGAACTGCTTTGTAACTCAATCTTAAAAATATAGCTTTCTTGAATAAAAACAAAGTTGTGTAACCTCTTAGTTTCTGGCCTTGATTATGACTTTCTGGCCACTATTCCATTGCCAAAATAATTCGTTTTCTTGTCCCTATATTCATAGACATCCTCCGTAAATTCCTGCTTATTTCCATCATAGGGTCCTTATAATTATTGTCCAAATACTTTAATGGACTCAGTATCAGTATTAATGGACTTTAATAATCTCAGTATCTTAATACATTGAATTTTCTTCTCCCAACTTTGTACAGGTAGTCCTCAAGTTACAACAGTTCATTTAGTAACCGTTTGAAGTTACAACAGCACTGAAAACTGTGATTTATAATTGATTTTCACACTTATGACCATTACAGTATCCCCCATGGTCATGTGATCAAAATTCAGTCACTTGGCAACTGAGTCATATTTATGACGGTTGCAGTGTCTTGGAGTCATGTACTCCTCTGCTACCATCTCACAAGCAAAATCAATGGGAAAGCTAGATTCACTTAACAACTGTATTATTAACTCAACACCTGCAATGATTCACTTAACAACTGTGGCAAAAAAAATCATAAAATGGAGCAAAACTCACTTAACAAATGTCTCACATACCAACAGAAATTTTGGGCTCAATTGTGATTGTATGTTGAGGACTACCTATAGATCTTACCTTTTGAAAGATTCATTGATATCTTCAGTAACTCTGCCTTTTTTTCCTTTTGATACAAACTCATTCCAAATCACCTCTAGGGCCCAAAATATGTCATTTCTCTTTAAATACAACTTCAGGCCTCTGTCTTTTCTGTGACACAATCTCTTCCTGATAGCAGAATTGCAGTAGATTTCTTGCATACAATATCCTTTCTTCTTTCTTTTTTCTTTTTCTTTTTCCCTTCTGTTGCCTTCTGTCAAATGGAACTGAATCTCCCAAAAGCAGTATTCATTTCAGTGTATTTCTAATGCATAACGCTTATTAAAAATGCTGACACTAAACTTTGGTGTTAAAAGCCACAAAAGAGGGAACCAAAACAGGGATTCAGAAAAACAAGGAAATCTCTGCTATATTCCAGAAGACTGAAGTATTTAGCTCTTTGTATTTAGCCTAGTAGTGATGGTGTGTTGATTGATGGATGGAAAAGAGAAAATTGAAAGCTAAGAGGTAGGAAATGGAATAATCTATTGGAATTGGCACCCTGCTTTTAGGAGATGGAAGTATGTTATAGCACCACATTATGGATTCTACTTCTTCCCAAACCTGGCATTTAATCTGCGCAATCCTACTACACTGGAAATAATTAGGAGTGAGCAAGTGATTTCTGTGTATTTTACACATTCTTCAGATATGCAGTAATGTATTCATTTATAATTTTAAAAAATCCAAAATAGTTTATTGAGACCATCCTCTGCCTTTCAGATGTAGAATGTTGGCCACTGAGGAAAAGAGAGAAGAATGACTGACTCATAATCCCAGGTTGAGACATTATAATTGGATAGATACAATTTATCCTGCGGTTTCAAGAAAAATGAAGAAAAATACATATTTGTACATTTGCATTAATCAATTTTTTTTAGCTTGTAAACCCAATAAGTGAATATTTTAGGGGAAAATATTTATGTTTTACCTGTAGTTTGCTTTAGAAACACTGAAATCTCATAAACAAATAGGGCTTAAAGTATTTGGAATATTTGATGTTCATATTTGTACGTTGTTTCAAAGTACTCATACCAAATTTCAAGCAAAATTTCTAAGAACAGTTCCTCTGATTTCTTCCCTTGCTGTCCTATTTTCATTTCCTCTAATTCTCTTGAAACTGCTTTTGTTTGTCAGGCTTAATTAGATTTCCTAAGAAGGGTGACTGTATTATTTTTTAATAAAATGTTTTTTCTGAATTTTTGCATATACCAGCATTATAAATTAAGGATAGCTTCTTAATGCCCTTATAACCAGATAGAAGATAAGGCCAAGTATGATGCCATCTTTGACAGCCTGAATCCAATGAATGGATTATTGTCCGGTGATAAAGTGAAACCTGTTCTCTTAAACTCCAAGCTACCAGTTGATGTCTTGGGAAGGGTAAGAACAACAAATAATTTCGCAAACCGTAATATTTCTCCTGTTGAATTCTATAGTTAAGAGTTGAATAAATGTACAATCATCCCTCCTTACACCTATCATACTTTCATTATTCACAGCCACCTAAGGAGAGTCATTAAAAGGGGGATAGCAATAGCAATACTGCTTCACAGTGCTTTACGGCCCTCGCTAAGCAGTTTACAGAATCAGCATTTTGCCCCCAAAAATCTGGATCCTCATTTTACAGACCTCAGAAGGATGGAAGGCCGAGTCACCTTGAGCCAATGAGAATCGAACTGCTGGCAGCCAGAAGTCAGCAGAAGTAGCCTGCGGTATTGCATTGTAACCACTGCGCCACCACGGCTTGGGTTAGAAAGATTAGTACCATACTAGAAGTTGGGCTCAAGATTGCAGGTTTTAGTGATCTTGGACAGAGTACGGATAACCCTTGCTTAACAACCATAGTTGGGACCAGCAGCTTGATCCTTAAGGAAGACGTCACATGGTGTTGATGGACTTATGACCTCACTTCAGGGGTGGAATTTGACCGGTTCGGACCAGTTCGCACGTACCAGTAGCGGCGATTTTAAATGGTTTGCTGAACCGGTAAAAACCAGCCCTGGTTGGCCCCGTCACCACTCACCCCTGCCCGCCATGTGCAGCCCCAGGACATCTGCCCTCTCTCCTGGAGCATTGCTGCTGCCCCAGAGCTTGCCTTAGCCTCTGCAGCCCGCTGGCCCCTTAGAGCAATGCAAATACTGCTTTTGCCCTTCTCTTTCTGGGCATAGCGCTTCTGCTTGTTGGGACGCTTCCCTGAAGCCGGGAGCTCCCTGGCCAGCTGCTTTGCTTTTTCCCTCTTTTTGGGAGGCTCGCGGGAGGCTTGCACAGTGGCACCGGCATGGGGGAGGCAGGCAATCCAGACGCCCCGTGCTGGTGCTTGTTTGGTGCAGCTGCAGGCAAACCAAGAGACAATGGGACGAAGGGGCTGGTGCATTGGGATCGCCTCTGCCTCCCCCTTCTGCTGGTGCCACCACACAAGCCTCCCATGAGGAAAAAGAGGGAAAAAGCAAAGCGGCTTACTGCAGAGCTGCTAGTTTCAGGAAGTGGCCCAACAGGCAGAAGCGCTGCACCCAGAAAGAGATGGGCAAAAGTCATTCTGCGCTGAAGCAGAGGCATTCCGAGCTTTCAGTGTATCCCAGGATTGCAATGCCGAAAGCTTGGAATGGAGCCGTTTTCGTGAAAGGCAGGAAAATGGGGAAGGGGATTTTCCTGCCTGTCATCCATTCCTGAGGCTCAGCACAAACTGAGGGAAGGATGATAGGCAGGGCAATCCCCCTCCCCATTTTCCTGCCATTCGCGACAAGGAGTGGCTGGGAGGGGAGGGGCCAGGTGAGGCGTCCCTCAATATGAGTGATGTCGAGTTGGTCATGCCCACCCAGTCATAGGACCCCCACCAAACCATGCCCACAGAACCAGTAAGGAAAAATTTTGAATTTCACCACTGCCTCACTTCCTCCGCAATCATTAAGTGAATCACCCGTGGTTGTTAAGCAAGACATCACATGACCAAGACTTGTGATTTTATTGCTGGTTTCTCCATTGACTGTCCAAAGCCGGCTGTGAAGCATGTAAATGGTGATCACATGGCGGTCAGCTGCTGTGACAGTTATGAATGCCTGCAAATTGCAAAGTGCTGAAATCTTGATCACATGACTATTGGAACACTGCAACAGTTGTAAGTGTGAAGACCATTCATAAAATTACTTTTTCAGTGCCATTGTAACATCAAACGATTGCTGGGCAGCTGTTAACTGAGTGTAACTTGGTAGAAAGAAAAAGTTGTTGACAGTTGTTGATTCCTTGCTTTCCCCTTCGGTAGCTGATCTCTAAATCATTAAGAATTTTTAAGGGCGTGCATTAACAGGAGAGTTAGTTTGGTGCAGTAGTTAAGGCGTGAGACTAGAAACCAGGAGACCATGAGTTCTAATCTCACCTTAGCCATAAAACCTGTTGGGTGTCTTTGGGCCATTTGGACTCACACAGCCCTAGGAAGGAGAAATTGGCAAACTACATCTAAAAAACTCTTGCCAAGAAAACTGCAGGGACTTGTCCAGGTAGATGCCTGGTGTCAAGATGGAGTCAAAGGATTCCTCCTCCAAATGCATTCTTTAGGAAATACTATTTTTGTTTCTTAAAGTTATATGTTTCTCCCCCAACCATAAAATGAAATTTTCTATTGATGTATCTAATAAAAGATTTTGTTCACATACTATATAGTCTTAATCCCAAAGGTTTCACTTTCATGTATATGTTGTACATATGTTGCAAGTAGCGGGGTGTTGTCTCTCCAAATATAGAATTATAATGTGAACCACCGTGCTGCTAAATATTTCTTCTGCCAGTCACGTGAATTACGTTTCAGCAACATATGGAGATTCAAATGTGATTTTAAAAAAATAAAACATTCCTTTCTCAATAAGGATGACCTTTTTTAGTACTTCATTGTTACATAAATGGCATGAAAATTGCTCATCTGTATTAAAATGAAAATGAGTTCAGGAATAGGAGAATAGCACATAGGAAAATAAATTTTCTACCTTGTATTTTCTTCTAAAGTATTTTATAGGGAGAAAAAAGAGAGGGTGTTTTGATGGATGGAAACATTTCTTCCCTTGCTAATTTTCACCTGCTCCTGATTTCAGCTTTAATTGGATGTTGTGATGTGGGAAAAATTTCATGGAACAATATGAAATGTATGATTTTGTCTTGAAATGAGTAATTTATCTCTAATAATAAATGATTGAAAGGCCACTAGGTCATTAGTTTGAATTTTTGTTAATGTCATTAAATAAAATAATAAGCATATGATAAAGTTAAGGCATTTTCCCTTAAAGCTTAATTTTAACCTTTAACCTCTTAAAAACTATTTGATTACTGGTGATGAGAGTATGTCACATTCACATATGTATGATCTTTTAAAAATGTAAAGAAAGCAAATATCATTTGGTAATTGACAGTAATTTGAAAATGTAAAATATTTCTTGAGATGGGCTTTTTGTTTGTTAGGTTTGGGAGTTAAGCGATATTGATCACGATGGAATGTTGGATCGGGATGAATTTGCTGTTGTAAGTATGAATTTATATATTACAGAATTTCAAAACAGTGTTTAAAATATTTAAAGAAGGCATAATGTAGTATTTCTTGATGCATATAATTATTTTGAGGAAGAGCTATTAAGGGATTTTAAAAATGTAAGTTCCAACAGTGATGGTTCTTTTAAAAAATGCAAATTTTATCTTTTATCTAATGTGATATTGTTTTCCCATCACATGATGCCTCCATAAAGTGTTTTAAACATTTTATTCAACTGGTTTCTACTTTATTTCCGAAGAGTTATTGAAGGCTTATTGACACATTAGTCAATAACGTGTCAATTATTCCTTTCCCAGAAGGGTCAGATTTACTGTTTACTGTTTAAGTCATGTTCTTCAGTATTCATTTTATCTACAAAGCTGATTTCCTTGTTAACAACATATATAATGTTCTAAGCTACAGAAGGATATAAATGTAAAATTACACAGATATATTGCATATTTAGCCTATATACAATGCTACATATTTTGCCATACCAGATAAGGCTTTTAAATTGTGTTCTATGTAATTGTTTCCAAGGCTCCTTGTGGGTGGGAGGTGCCATATTTCAGGGTTTTCTGCTCTCACACGTTCTGTTTAACATGAGGCTGCAGATGGTCTATTGGTTTGGGATCTTCAATATGGGAATGTACTCAAATAAACATTCTCAACCCCAGGCCGACCAGGTAATGCTGCCAAACTCAAGTCAGTCCTAACAAGTCTATGGTTGTGGTTTTTTGACATCTCCTTTTCCCCTGCTAAGGATATTTCATATTCAGTCTTGAATGAGTTGCACGTTTCACCCTTTGGAACTGGTTGTTCCAGGAGTTGTCCTGGATTCATAGCTCCTGCTCAGAGAATGGGTGGCAGCTATGGTTAAGAAGACCTTTGAACGAATCTATTCAGTCAACCATTTACACCCTTATCTGGACTGTAAGGCACGTCAGTCAGTCGCTCAGTCTTTATTCACCTCAAACTTAGACAAGTGTAATGCATTCTATATGATGCTGCCCTTGAAAACCACTCAGAAGCTACAACTGGTCCAGAATGTGGCAGCGTGGATAGTTATGGGCATGCCTCATCTTGCTCACACAATACTTTTGCTTCATGGTCTGCACTGGTATCATTAGGCTTCTGGGTGCAATTCAAGGTGCTGGTTAAAATTAAAATTTGACTCTTCCCCCAGCTTTGGGTTGGAATGAATGGCAAGTACCCGTGTATTTTAGGGTTGGTTTTATATGCAGTCCACAGTTGTTATATAATTGAACAGCCTTATAAATTTAATAAAATTAAATAGTCTATTGGCTTTGCTTTTTAGCTTTACTATCATTTTAAATACAGTAAATGAGCAGAAGAGTAGCTGAAACAAAAGGAAGTAGAAAACATTAACAGCTTTATCTAGCTCAATTACTATGAGGTTGCATAATAACAAACTAATGTTTGGTCCATGTCTTTGACCAAAAATGTCTATTCAGGCCATGTTCTTGGTATACTGTGCTCTTGAGAAGGAACCTGTGCCAATGTCCTTACCTTCAGCGTTAGTGCCACCATCTAAAAGAAAAAGTATCAGCATTCCAGTTGTCGGGCAGTCAGTGCCACCTTCAACACCCAACAAAGAGTGTAATCAGTCCATGTTACCTGTCAGCCTATTACCATCCACATCATCAGTAACACAGGTACCTTTGACAAAGAGTAGTGTCTCGATCTGTTGGGGTCATGAAGTGTAATTGAAATGTAAAATGTAGCTATTGCTTTACTTTGTAGTGGGTTGTATCACCTGCAGACAGGATAACATATCATGAAATCTTCCTGAAAACAGACAAGGACATGGATGGCTTTGTCTCTGGTGTGGAAGCTAGAGAATTATTCTTGAAAACTGGTTTGCCTTCAGCTCTACTTGCACACATCTGGTAAGAGTTTTCCCAGTATTTCTTGAAAAGAATAAAATAATCTAATTTCTTTAAAATGGATGAAAAATAACTAGCTATTCTAAATTTGGAATTTATCATTGTTTTTCTACATGTTTGTATTAAATTGTACACTCTAACCCGAGTTATTATATTTTAAAGAATTTAAATAACCAATTTTGATGCTTTTTCTAAAGTGCATCCTAAATTATGATATAAGGTACGTGTTTAATGTCACTCTTGGTGCCAATATGAAAATTTTGGCACTTTAGATTCTAAATAAAGAACTTTTTTTTTTAAATTGTAAAGATAAAAGACCTTGTACAGAATAAACTTAGTCAAGTGGCATAAAATGCAATAATAAATATGTTACCTGATTCAAAATGTACACTATAAATACTTAGCTTAGTTGTATTGGGTTGCTCTATCTATTCTTTTTCTTTTGAATCTCAAAATTCCCAAGTCACAGTCATTCTAAAATATAATGGTATTTATTAGAAGCCTATTATGATGTGTGAACTCAGCTATTATGAACAAATGGAATGCAACATGTATGGCTAGATTTCAAAATTAAATAGCTTTAAAATAGTAATTTTTAATCTAGACAACATGTCCATGGTATGAGAAATTTTATTAGTCATTTTCTTTCTCTAATGGATTTTACAGGGCTCTTTGTGACACAAAGGATTGTGGGAAGCTTTCCAAGGAACAATTTGCTTTGGCCTTCCATTTAATCAATCAGAAGCTGACAAAGGGCATCGATCCTCCTCAGGTGCTAACGGCAGACATGATTCCTCCATCAGAGAGAACTGCTTCACAAAATGTGAGATTTGTGACATTTCATAAAATGTGGTAAAGATTGGAGTCTGATTGGGAGTTGTACTATGTGCTTGAACTTGGTATCTCAGATAATAGTAGATATAGAAACTGATTAACAGGAACACACAAACTCTGCTCATATTATTGATAAACCTTCTTTCATCTCACTAGCCAACCAAGCAGATACAAGTTGTTTGTTTAAAATAAAATGAAAACTTAGACACATTATTAGAAAATGGATATTTTTTGACTTTTGCAAGCATAAAATTGTTTCATTGAGTGCTGATTATATCTTCCTGTTCATATTTTAGAGCTGATAACAATTCAGTTCAAAGACCAGGTGGATTAAATGCTAATAAATTACTAGAGTCAATTCCATGTGCATCAAAGCATGCATGCAGACTTGTTCTCAACATTGCAATCAATGGAAAAGACAAATAAGATATTATTTCTGCTACATATTATGCGAGACACATCGAATCATAAATTTCTGGTCTCCTTTATGAAATATTCTTATTGAAGAAATTCTATGATTCCTAAGATGTTTATTTTAACAAGGACATACTGAAATAATTTCAGTATAAGCAGGATAAATTTATATGTTGTGTACTTTTGTGGCATTGTTCCATTTCAAATAATAAATACCAATAAAAAAACAAAATGTTAACATTCTCCTGGTTTGATAATTGAGCTTCTTCTTGGTTGTGCTAAGTCATATTACCCAAATAATTGAACTCCTTGTGAGAAATTACACTCAAAAATTCTTCATTTTGTTTGACTTCTACAATACCAGATTTATTTTTGCTTTATTTTGAAAAAAAATTGCTTTTATTTCTTGCTTTACTAATCTTTTTATATGTTTGCTTTCCTCCTATGTCTTTCCTAGTTTGGACTATATTTTCCATTCTGCACCATTCTGCTTTGCATCTTTATTATACTGTCAGTTTCTTAAATCTGCCATCGCAAGGTTAGAGATTCTTCACTTTTCCAATATTGATTGTGTAGTAATGAGCATCTTTTTCATATCACACATTTTCTTTTCAAACAGCAGAATGTCACTTAAATTTCCGAAAGAGCTGTGCTATTCTCACATCACTGTTCTCACTTCAGGATGCTGCATGTGTTTCCAAAATTGACAGAATAACGTGCTGTGCACTTGATCTTGATGCCTGCTGACAATAACAACATATTTTATAAATATTTATATTTCTTTCACAGTTGTTTGGGCTTAAATATATGCTCTGAATTTAAGATGCATACCTCAGTTGAATATTTACTTTTTATTATCAAACAATAAATGAATTGTGAAGTGTTAATGCAGATGAGTAATAGCATGTATATATGAACGCACTAAACCTTAAGCTTATAATAAGGCTGTAATTGTACTGTTGATAAGGGCAGAAAGGTTTAAACCTGAAATACGAAAAATAAAAATGAATGACAATGCATCTTTAAAAAGGTGATTCTACAAACAGAAGTCTTTCCTTATTGAGAATTAGGCTTTGTCCCTTTGCTTCACTATTCTTATTGGGAGATAAATATCACATATCCTTGTGTCATTGGTATAATGAACTGTATGTATTAACTAGTGCAACTATGTGGTTTACTATTGCAAGTTTTGAAATATGAGCCTCACAAAAATTCTCAACTGAGAAAAAACAATTATCAAGGAAAACTCATTGCCAATAAATGAATCAATATAAGTATTATGGAACACTCTGTTGAAACATACATTTATACCTATGTAGCAGAATAGACTAGTCCAGACCTGGGCATTTTATGACCCCCAGCCCACGTCCAGCCTTTTGGCTGTTTCTGTCCGGCCTGCATGAAGTCAGATGGAAATTAGAAATCAAATGCTTCATAAGTACGCCATGGGGTGGGAGAAGAAGTCAAATCAGATCCGGCTCTGCACATCACTGTGTGGTCTTTCAGTCAGCTGGCCAGTTGCAGGAGGGCAAGAAGAGAAAGTACTTTTCTGCACCTATTCAGCACTCACTCCTCTGGAGAAGCCTTAGGAGGCAGTGGTAATCAGTGTGTGAAGGGACTTAGGCTTGGCCACCCATTGTCACCTTGGTTAAAGCGTGTCCTTGTAGGCACAGCTGGGAACTATTGGTTCTGCCTTCCAGAACAGTCCCAGTTTTTCATGTGGCTCCTTGGAAAAATTAATTGCCCACCCCTGCACTAGTCTGTTTGATTGCTATGTTATATAATTTTACCATCTCAAAACTGATGAAATGAAAGGAAGTGGCGCAGTGTTTAGGTGGCGCAGTGGTTAGGGTGCAGTACTGCAGCTACTTGAGCTGACTGCTAGTTCAGCAGATCAGCGGATCAAATCTCACCGGCTCAAGGTTGACTCAACCTTCCATCCTTCCGAGGTGGGTAAAATGAGGACCCAGATTGTTGGGGGCAATATGCTATTTAGTATACTGTCTTTGGTGTAAGCCGCCCAGAGTCCTCAGAGAATGGGCGGCATAGAAATATGAATAATAAAAATAATAATAATAATAAAATAAACTCAACTTACCCTTTGAAGCTCACCTTCTGTTTGGAGCTTATCAAAAAATAAGCTTTATGTTTAGAGCTTTTAAAAAATTAGGCTGTACTTTTTTTTTCTAATCTTAAATTGGAAGCCAGTTAAATTTTTCCCTCCAAGACGATTAGAGTATCTATTCTGGAAGCAAGTACAATCAAGCCATATTTTCTTGTTTATTTTTCAGAATTTACTACAGCCAAATTCTGCAGCAGATTTTTCTGCAATCAAAGAGTTAGATTCCTTAAGCAATGAAATAATTGACCTTCAAAGGTAAGTCAAAGAAATTTACACTACAATTATAGTGATCTTTAATGTTTATTTGTTTTATTATTTAGCTTTATAAGAGCTGCTTCAGGGAGCATAGGTTGGGGAAAAAGCCAATTTTTTTAAAGACTGTTTAAAAATATGTAATTTTGATGCAGTCCTAAACTCTGGGCAAAGTGGGTTATTTCAAAGAGGTGGCACCATAAAGAGGGGACATGAAATATGCCTGCTCTGTCAGATCTTCCAGAATATACAGAAGTAAGGAGAGAGATATGGTCCTTCAGATAGCCAGGCTCTATGCCATAAATGCCTTTACAGGTTATAACTAGCATATTTAATTGCAACCAGAAGCATATTGGTAATCAGTGCAGCTCATGCAAAGAGGTGTTACATGTATGTATTGAATTTTGCCCATAACTGTTCACATGGTTGTATTTTGGACCATCTTCACCTTCCAAGTGATCTTCAAGGGGACCCTCCTGTAGAGCATATTGCAATAGTCACACCTGAAGTAACCAAGATATGTGTGACTGTGAGAGGACACCAGTCCCTGAAATGGCTCAGTTGGCACACCAGATGAATCTGCAAAGGCCCTCTTGATACGTGCTTATGGATAGGAGTTGTGAGCCTAGAAAAAAAAAAAGCCCAGATTGCACACAAGCTTTGTATGGGGGAGAACCATTCAGATCATCAATTGAAAATCACCATCATCAAGAAAAACAATGTACCTATAGCCACTTATTCTTTTAAGGGTGAGTTTCAGCCTGTTCTTCCCTATCCTGACTCAAACAGTCTTCGGGCACTGCATTACTTGATTGACTAAGGCTCAAAATATACAGCTGAGTATTACTATACTGTTGGTACCTGACCCAGTGTCAGCAGATGACTGACTAGACACTTACATGCAGACATTAAATGTTTGTCTTACTATGGTGTCTGATTCTGAAATGTACAACAAAAGCTTTTGTACAGCAACTGTGTTGTTTCATAAGCTTTGTTTAAATTCCTGAGCTCTTTCTTTTCCAAAAGTATTTGGATTATCTGGAACAATTTGTACTTCTTGGCACCATATTCAAATTAAGCATTTCTTCTGTGGATTATTTGATCCAGATGCTATTGCTGCTTGAACTTCCAATGCCATTACACATTCTGGAGGGATTAACTGCAGCTTTTGGCTCCTAAACCAGTAATCCTGCTTTGAAGAATGCTGATGAAATTGATACTACTTATTTATGTGTCCTTTGAAATAATGAATGGGAATATCTTGTCCTGATAAACAAATGGAACATTGCAGTATACAAAATGAAATTAGTTTCTGCAACTTTAGAATGAGGTTTAGGTAACAACAACAACGAAATGCTTTGTGTGTATTTGAAGCCTCAGATTGTTAAAAAAAAAAGAGAGTTAAAATTACCCTGCTCTTGAAGATATACAGTGCATTCAGAAAGTATTCAGACCCCATTCACTTTTGTCAATTTTGTTATGCTGCAGCCTGATTCTAGAGTTGTTGAAATTCAATTTTTTTCATTAATCTATACTCAGTACATGATGATGATAAAGTGAAAACAGACTTTTAGAAATGTCTGTAAATTTATTAAAAAGCAAAAATTGAAATATTACATTGGCATAAGTATCCAGACCCTTCACTTAGTGCTTTAATGAAGCACCTTTGGCAGCAATTACAGCCTCAAGTCTTTTTGGGTATGACGAGACAACCTTTGCACACCTGGATTGGGGGATTTTCTGCCATTCTTCTTTGCAAATCCTCTCAAGCTCAGTCAGGTTGGATGGTGGCTGTTGGTAGACAGCCATTTTCGGGTCCCTCCAAAGATGGTCAATAGAGTTCAAGTCAGGGCTCTGTCTGGGCCACTCTAGGATATTCACAGAGTTGTCCCTAAGCCAATCCTATGTTGTCTTGGCTGTGTGCTTAGGATCGTTGTCATGTTGGAATGTGAACCTTCAGCCCAGTCTGAGGTCCCGAGTGCTATGGAACAGGTTTTCATTGAGGATAGCCCCGTACTTTGCTCATTCAGCTTTCCCTCAATCCTGACCAGTCTGCCAGTTCCTGTTCTTGAAAACCACCCCCACAGCATGATGCTGCCACAAACATGCTTCACTGTTGGGATGATATTGGGCAGGTGATGAGCAGTGCCTGGTTTCCTCCAGACATAACATTTAGAATTGAGGCCAAACAGTTCAATTTTGGTTTCATCAGACCAAAGAATCTTGCTCCTCACAGTCGTGAGAGTCCTTCAGGTGCTTTTTTTGCAAACTCCAATTGGCTTTTCATGTGTTTTGCACTGAGGAGAGGCTTCCATCTAGCCATGCTGTCATAAAGCCCAGATTGGTAGAGGGCTGCAGTGAAGGTTGTCCTTCTGGAACTCTGTCCCATCTCCACACAGGATCTCAAGCTCAGTCAGAGTGACCATGTGGTTCTTGGTCACCTCTCCTACTAAGGCCCTTCTCCCCTGATTGCTGAGTTTGACCAGGCAACCAGCTCTGGGAAGAGTCATGGTTCTGCCAAACCTCTTCCATTTGAGAATTATGGAGGCTACTGTGCTCTTAGGAACCTTCAGTACAGCAGAAATTTTATTGTAGCCTTTCCCAGATCTGTTCCTTGCAATAATCCTATCTCTGAGCTATCCAGGCAATTCCTTTGACCTCATGGTTTTTGCTCTGCTAAGGTATGCATTGTCAATTGTGAGGCCTTCTATAAAGAGCTGTATGCCTTTCTAAATCATGTCCAATCAATTTAATTTACCACACGTGGACTCCAATCAAGGTGTAGGAACATGTCAGCAATGATCATGAGAAATGGGAGGCACTTGAGCTAAATTTCAAGTGTTGTTGCAAAGGGTCTGAAAACTTATGCCAATGTGATATTTCAGTTTTTTTTTACTTTTTAATAAATTTACAGAATTTTCTAAAACAAAACAAACAAAATTGACAAAAGTGAAGGGGGTCTTAATACTTTCTGTGAATGCACTGTATTTTAGGAATTAGAGGATTAATCCATACAGGCTGATCTGGGCCTACTGTTGCATTTTGGGCTGGCAGCATTTGCTTATATAACTCTGGATCATTTATATATTAAAACAATGCATGTTCTTCTTAGTTATGTCCTCCATATTTGGAATCTATCCAGTAATGTTAATTGTTCTGGCATGAGAGTTGGCTAAATGAATTATTATAGAGCATCATAAAAAGTCTATCTGATTTGCAACACTGGACAATTGACGTGTGTGTGTGTGTGTGTGTGTGTGTGTGTGTGTGTATTTGAATCTTTCTCAATTTTCAGAAAATGGTAAGGATAAGGATTTGAACAATTGAAAAAAGAGTTTACTCTGCTGGATTTTAAAGATCCATTAAAACTGATGTTTTTTTCAGCAGCCCTTAGAGGCAAAACTATTATGGAAGGTTCCCTGATATGATTTAACATTTTGTTAGAAATAGATTTATTTTGTCACTTAAGTGATCATTTGCCTCATTGTCTGTATTGTTGGTGTCCTATATAGATGCTTTGTTGCTTCTATTTAGCTAAGCAGCTGAGATGACTTTCATGCCTTGGGTGACCTTAGAGTATATACTCTTAGTGTGTACTCCCAGCATTATTTGCTCATCCCTTCAGTGAATATACCACCACCACAATGAGACAGCAAGACAGACTTTGGAGAGGATTCCCTGTAGTACTAAATCAAAATGTATTTTTACCATGATTCATTGGTTTTGCAGTGTTTTATTACCACTTCTTATTCTGATACATAGATGTTTTCTTAAATACTTTGGGGACAGTAACTTGTTTTTTTTTTAAAGTATGGATTTTGGATTGTTGTTTTTTTTAAAGTATGGATTTTTTAATGAAGTGTTTGATTCTGCGTGCATTATTTTCTATTGGGAAAGTCAGTGGGGAAGAGAAAGCTTGTTGGAAGCTTATTATTTCACTCATTTAATTGACTTTTTGTTTCGGGCATATATACTTGTGAAATTTGTAAACAAATTCATGTAGCTTTTTAGACAACATCTTAGCACACATTTCCCTTCTTCAGACACTGGGATTTATTTATTTATTATTTATTTATTAATTCAATTTGTATGCCGCCCCTCTCCGAAGACTCAGGGCGGCTCACAATGCATTTAAAATCATTATAAAAAACATTTAAAAATTAAAAACTTTAAAAACATTAAAACTCATTCACACCATTCATGGCCGGATCTCGTCGGATCGCAAGAGCGAGATCAACGGCCCCAGGCCTGTCGGAAAAGCCAGGTCTTCACCGCTTTTCAGAAGGCCAATAGGGTGGGGACGGTCTGGACCTCAGGAGGTAACTGGTTCCAGAGAGCTGGGGCAGCCACAGAGAAGACCCTCCCCCGCAGACCCGCCATTGTTTAGCTGACGGGACCCGGAGGAGACCAAGTCTGTGGAATCTTACCGGTCATTGGGAGTTATGTGGTAGAAGGCGGTCTCGAAGATACCCTGGCCCTGAGCCATGTAGGGCTTTAAAGGTAATAACCAACACCTTGAATTGTGACTGGAGACCAATAGGGAGCCAGTGCAGCTCGCAGAGAATTGGTGTAATGTAGGTGTACCTAGGTGCACCCACGACAGCTCGCGCGGCTGCGTTCTGGATCAACTGTAGTCTCCGAACACTTTTCAAGGGTAGCCCAACATGAGGTGACAAGGGCATATTACTTGGACTGCATTACTTAGTTGACTAGGGGAAAGGGAATGATTGGCTCAATGTCATGTTTGGCTTCTGTGCCTAAGGCAGGATTAGAACTCTGGTTTTCTTACTCCTAGTCCATTGCCTCAACTGCTAGGCCAAACTGGCATTATTGTTGTACGTTAACTCTGATTTTAAAGTGATATATCAGTCCCAGCAAATAAATTTGATTAGCAGTTTATTAATATGATTAAAACGTAAATAATTAAAAGGTAAGTTAAAACCAGCCTTTCAAGTTGCTGTATTCACTGTGGTATGTCAATAAAAAAGCAGGCATAATTATGCTTATTGCCTTCAAAAGCCAATTTAAAATTAAAATATTTTTGAAATACTATTTTCCTTTTTTCGTTGTTAATAGTAAGTTGGCATTTTTTACATTGAAGCATGCTTGTCTATGTGTTACTTAAATTTTGTGAATGTGTTCAGTGTTCATTTATTAACCTTTCTTTAAGCAAAGCAAAAAAATGTTTCTGTTGATTTTGCAGATTGAATGAGACATAATCAAAACATATTATAGTGGAATTTAATAATAATAAGGATTTATATGTTATTTCCTGATATTTCTATCTTTTTCCTAGATATAGGCTAAGTTCATATATTTTTCAAAGCCACAATATGGCTTGTTAGTTTTGGCTTATAGTGATGTATACGTCACCAAACACATATTGTGGCTTAGTGTTATAGGTAACTGCAACTCCTGATAGAGAAGAGTTTGGCTTTAACAGTATAGCTTTTAATATAATTTTTCAGCAACATGGAAAATAATGGTAGCAGGTGTAGGATAAGACATTCGGAGTGTGTGATCAGGGGATTAATAAGGTAATACTAGAAATCGTGTGTATGTATGAAAAATATAATGCCTAAATGGATGCATGAATAATCCAGCTAAATCTAAAGGTGCTCTTTAGTTGGGAGACATCTTTAGCTCTTGGAAAAGGATACATTCAGCTAAAGCAAGGACATGTTCTCCTGTTTGATTTACTGTTAATGAATGAAAAAAGAAGCCACTCTAGAATTAATGTAGTATAGCTTTACGAAGGCTTCTATAAATGAATGTACAAAGAGGATTGTGAAATTGAACTGTTACATTTGTGGGTTTTTTTCCATTCATTCCATGACTGAAAACCTACTGAAAGCTGCAGCGTCGTAAGGCATAGGAAAAAATATATAGACATATAGCTTATCTTTAAGATTTTATGCTTCAAGTAACACAAACCTTAGTATTTTTATAGCGAAAAGAAAAGCTAGCACACAGGTTTCTATCTTGCATACTATATATGCAATTCTAGTTCCAGAAGGGTTAAGTGTATGAGAGCTGATGCAGTCCCTCCCTCTTTTTGCCAGACAGTTGTTCCATAGCAACAGTGAGATCACTGAAGACAGTATTTCATTGATTTTTTTTTCCCCTTTCCCCTTTGCTTTCTCTTTAAGCTGTCATTTCCACCTATCCATGACTGGGAGAGTAGACATCTTTTATATTTTAATATTTGGCCTACGTAGGACATTCCTTTTGGCTTTTCTTTCTAAAGCAACACAATCAGTCTTATAAAAATTACATGTTTAGCTATGCATTTAAAAAGAGAGACTGGTTTAGGAGGTTGGATAACTGTGCCTGGCGTAACGGATGTTCTTAAATATTCCTGCCTTATTTGTTGGTCTTCTAGGGAAAAGAACAATGTGGAGCAAGACCTGAAGGAAAAAGGAGAGACAATCAAGCAGAGGACAAGTGAAGTCCAGGTAATTGTCATTTGAATTTTCAAATTTGGTTGATATAAATAGAGCTTATTTTAAAAAATGTCTTTTAATGAATGGTTTCGTCTTTTAGCATATATGTTTTTAGGATTTGTTCCCATTGTGATCAATATATTTGTTATTTTAGGGATTAAAATTGATGTGGTTAATTACATGAATGTTTGTATTATTTGGAAAATAGGCTGAGGGGGAAATGCAGCATTTTTTGTTAGATGCCAGTTTTGGCAGTGATGTTATAATGCAAGCACTGTGGCTATGAATAACAGATTGAGTTTTTGCTTGATATGAGCAAGGATTTGCATCTAGATGGATTCCTTAAAGCTGAAAATCTCTCTCAGTGCTTAAATGTAAATCCAGGTGAGAGAATCAAAATGAATCATTTTGAGCCTGTTATTAAAGGCTGCATAATAGTTCTTTTGGATGGAGCCTTTTTAATTTATTCTTAACCAGTATTTTGTTGCTTTTGCATGACCATTTGCTGGTCATGCAAAATGAAGCAGCAACTTACATAAAGCTATTTAGTTAGTTAACAGTTTTGCTACAGGTGTTGATATATCATAAGATTTCATATAATACTAGCAAAATAATTCCCATGTGTGACTTTTATTAATATTTGTCCTATGACACCAAAGAAACCACAGAGCCCAGAATTTATTTGACTCTAGAAATATCTATATATATATCTATCTATCTATATATCTATCTATAATCTCTTACCTCTGTCTATCTATATCTCCATCTCTCTCCAACACTAGTGGTGTTGTAGTGATCCATTGTAATGGAAAATGAATTTTAAAATTTAGGAGAAAGGCTTTAAAAGAGGAGAGTGTTACTAATGAAACAAATGAATAGTTTCTCTTGAATGTTCGTCTTTAATATAGATCGATGAACAGCTTGTTTCTGTACAATTATTTCTGTAATTACATTAATATTACATTAAGACTGCAAGAATATTACATTTCTTGCAGTCTTTCCAAGAAATATATTGTAATCCAGGCAACATAAGCAGCTTGCTTGCTATGCTTTTCTAGGAAGACACTGACATTTTACAAGATACGATTTTTAAAAATTTAGTATAGATACATTTTCTGTCATGTCTTTGTACCCAAGGGCTTTTGCTAGGAGTGTGATGTTCAGTATCATCACTATAAAGCAGGAATGTTTACAAAACGGGAACATAGTAGAACCCAATTATTCTACCAGAATAATCAAGTTAGTTGTGATTTAAGAGAATTAAAATAAAAATGGCGGAAGTTTTTATTCTGATTTCAGAACAGCCCACTCTGAAGTTGAAATGGCCGATTTTTTTTCTGTGACTAGAAAGCCTTGATCTGCAATGAAATTAAAACCAACCATTTTAATAATAATAATAATATAATAAAACAAATTCTCATAACAAGTCTTGCTTCCAATTAAAAACATTTCACATTCAAATTGAAACCACAGGTTTAATCAAATGTACTTCTATTAGTGATATTGAAAGCTTTGCTCAAAAAGCAATCTAAATTGTGTGAAGCTTTTTGTCATTGATAAATCTTGAAATGTATTGTACTTCAATAGATGCTTGTATCCTGCAGTGTCTTAGCAATGTGTCTTTGGATACAGGTTGCAGGTAGCACTGGGTGAATTGCAGTCATCCTGTTTCTGGGCCACCCTTATAAGTGATGCCCAGCAATAGCCGACAGACATCAGTTAGGAGGACATTTTATTCTCTACCTTAAGTTGCCTATCTGCCATTTCCACCCACTGAATCGCACTACATTTGTTACCAAGAGAAAAATTTTCTCAGTAATTTTGATTAAGTATTACTTTTCTTCAGTTCATCCATCTCATTTCCTTTCTCATACCCTTCCAAACTCTATTTTGATTTATTTTTGTCTTTTTCTGTGTGTATCCTATAAATTTCATATGGCTTTGTTCAGGATAATTCTTGTGAAACATGCGTGCTGAAACTACCTTCTTTTTTTCAATTTTTCAAATATGCACCTACCTGTTCACATCCTCTCCCCTCCATCTTACATCAGAAAGTTAAAATCATTACAACATCATATGGTGGATGTTTTAAGAAGAAATGCAGGCCTGTATTTTTCACTTTTCAGGATCTTCAAGATGAAGTAAGGAGGGAGAGTAATAACTTGCAGAACCTTTTGACTCAGAAGCAGGAGGCAGAAGAAATCCTGAATGGTCTAGATGAGGAGAAAGCCAAGTTAGAAGAGCAGCTTAGTATGATACGGCAGAAATGTATAGAAGAAGTTGATTTAGTGAGTATTTTTACCTTAGCTGTAGAAAGCTGCATTTTCCTCATTGTTTCACTGGGACTGTTGTATACGTGATGTATATACTTATATTCCTTGTTTAAAGAGATTGGCATGGAAATAAATGTATTAAAAATGAATAACCTCACCACATCATTGTTGATTTGATTGCTGTGGGAGTTGTTGGACTATTGTTAATACTCTTGTGTTACACGGTTTAAAGTTTCAAGCATTTTAATTAATTTATTCATTGTGGAAGCTATAATTAATTGTATTTGTGTTGTCATGTCTCTGATCTTTATTAATTAACCGAAGAAAAAAATGAATCAGGGAAAAAGAAGAAAAGAGCAACAACTTAACCACCAGATTCAGTAAGGAAAGAGTAATTGTAGCTCCACATTTCTGGGACACGAGGGGGCTGAGGCTAGAAGGCACTGCTCTTCTGTGGCAATGCCGATGCTCTGGAACAGCTTTCTACAGAGGTCTTTGCCTCCTTCCTTCTGGCTTTCAGGAAACTACTAAAAATGGAGTTATTCCAGAGGGCATTCTCTTAATTTAAGCATTACATCACCTTTATGTGACGTTTTCAGTAAAAGACTACTATATTTCATTGAAAACTTTCATACATAATTTCTCTTTCTAAGCATCAATTTATAAATAAATAAATCATAATTGTTATTAAATAAACAGAGAGAAACAGCTGAGACAGGAAAATCTGGGGATTTTTCCCAGGTTATGCAAAGAACAGGAAACTCAAGTCCACTCTAATTTATATTTTAAATTTGAGAATAAACAAACATGAAGTATGCAAGAGGAAGGACGAAGCCTCTGGCACGCTTTAAGTTCTCCAAATCATGATTTTGCATTTCAGGAATATTTTATCTTTGGCCATCTGGTAAAATGACACAGCAAGAATAATCTCTATGCAGTACAGACTTTTGTGAATATGCCATGAAAGCACATCTCATAATTCAACTATTAGGATGCTAGAGTGGAATATTTTATTTTTTTATGAATTTATTTCTATCTCGCCTTTATTATTTTTACAAATAACTCAAGGCGGCGAACATATCCAACACACCTTCCTCCTCCTATTTTCCTCACAACAACCACTCCGAGAAGTGAGTTGGGCTGAGAGAGAATGACTGACCCAAGAATTCATAGTCTCTTGCTTTCTAGTCTGGTCCTTAACCACTAGACCAAACTGGCTCTAATATGCTCCTGGTTTGGTTAGCTCTTTCTTGTTAAAAATGTTGATGGAAAGAACTGCTAGCTAGTTTTAAATTCACCCTTCACTTTATAGATTACATCTCTAAAAAAAGAAATAGCAGAGCAAGAATCAAAAATCTCTGGATATAAGGATGATTTGAGTAAAGCCCAAGAAGAACTCAGCAGGCTACAGCAAGAAGCTTCAGAGTTAGAGAAAAATGTGGAGGAAGGAAAATTGCAGTTAGCACCTCTCCAGCAGGATCTTCAAGACTCCCAACAAGATATAACTTCAGTAAGTCCCTCTGAAATTGTTCTTTTCCATTATGCTTCCATTGTTGGATTTCCTTAGTTACAAATGTTATTCTATCATTCAACGTTTAACTAAAAAATATACTTGAATTCAGTTGTTAAAGCTGAATTTCTCCTGTTCTGGCTTTGTGTGTCATTCATAATAGAACATTTTTTTATAGTGTAAATACTCAATTTCATGTACTATAATTCAGATGAGTGAAAGGTATTATCCTGACACAGGGAAATATGTGTGTATTTATGTTTCTGTTTTACATATTTAAAGTTTTATATGTCATCCATCATTATTTTAGAGGTTTGTGTTTTGCACTATACAGTATATATGATATCAGTATTGAGCAATTGCTTTTTGCAATTCTCCAAAACCATTTTATCAATCAGAAGTTGATGTTTTGTACCTCTTCTTTCCTTTTACTTCCTTTCTGTTCTACTGGAAGGATAAATAATCTTGAATGTCAGTAATTTAAACATTGTAGGCAAGCTTGTTAATGGCCTGTAGGTTCATAGTATTGTTCCTTTTGCTGGATTTTTTTTAATCAGATAAATGTTGCCAGTTATTAACCAATCAAAGATGTTGTCTTCTTTATGCAATATTTCATTAACCTGTTTAGCTCTAATTGGATGTAAACTAGTCAGATATTTGAGCCAAAAGTCATGCAATTGATCATTTTCAGGTCTAGTTTTGAATCCTTTTTATTCAATTGTTAACCATTTCTGCTTTTATTGTCAGTTCTTCCATTTGATTTTTACTGAATTCATATTCAAATATTTTTATCCATCTAGCATTTTTATTCTAATATTTTTGAGTTTCCCATAATCTTTTCAAAACTGGATTGTTTCCTTTTTTGCTTGGTCTTCAATTTTCAAAATTTCTATTACCATTTATTCTTTGGTAGAATATGTATGTATGTATGTATGTATGTATTTATGTATGTTTGTTTGTTTGTTTATTATTAGGTGCAAGAAAAATTGCTGGAGCTCAAACAGTTGGAAAACAGCCAGTTTAACTGGGAAGTCCAACCACATAGCATATTGATTAATGGGAATGCAGATCACTCTAGCCTCAGCAACAGCAGCAGTGAAACTGTTAACCTAAATGAGAATGCTGAAAGAGAGAATCCAGCAGATTCTGAACAAGTAAATTATGAAACTCCTGTGAGTGGTGCCTGGATTATTTTTTTAAAAAATCTGATCAAATTGTGTGGTGAAGCTTGAGTTTCAATGTAATAAATAAAATATACCAAGTTTTGTTCTAGAACAAGTCCAAAGTATATATGTAAATTGATGAATTAATCAAAGTATTTTTAGATAACTTATTACTAACTACCTAGTTCGGAGATTTCAGAGAAGGTTGAATGTGTTGTTATACATTTGGGAGGGGGGGAAGTTGTCTTAACACAGAGTCCAGCATAATATTAGAGAAAAACAGTGTAAGGGTCATAGATTTTCTTCTTCCAAAAGAAAAATGTGAATGATCTCAATTATTTCCATCTGGGAATGACATGATAGAGATTTGTTGAGCCAATTTTTCTTAAATAATAGTCACTAGAAAAAAAAAGTATACCCAAACTGTAGTTGTTGTTAGGAGAACTTATATGTCTGATTTATTTTTTTTTTTGCCCTGAAAGGCTAGAAACAGTCCTGAAACAACACATGTAGATACAGAAGAGGAAAAAGAGGAACTGCCATCGGATGTTACCAAAAAAGTGCGTTTAAACAGCGTTTTAATATACAACTTCTAGGAGGCATCTACATTTTGTAGGTTGATGTGATATCATTGTGAAGTCAAGTAAGAGAAGCTCCTTAAATATATGCAAGAACCTTTACAGCTAGTCCTCAACTTACGACCACAACTGAGGCCAAAATTTCTCATGCTAAGTTGTTAAGTGAATTTTGCCCCATTTTACAACCTTTCTTGTCACAGTTGTTAAGTGAATCACTAGCTGTCAAGTTTTAACACAATTTTATAACACAATTGTTAAATGAATCTGGGTTCCCCCCATTGTCTTTGCTTGTCAAAAAGTCACAAAAAGTGATCACATGATCCCGGGGCACTGTAAGCATCATAAATATGAGTCAGTTGCAAAACATCAAAATTATGATCCAGTGACCATGGAGATACATGACCATGGTTATGTAAAAAACGGTCATAGGTCACTTTTTTCAGTGACATTGTAACTTTGAAGTGGAACTAAACGAACTATTGTAAACCACGGACTACCTGTACAAGGGGTAGGGTTTTTTCCCCATTATCCCATAAGTATCCTCCATGTGAGACCATATGAATAAGTCAGACTAAAATAATTTGTGTACTAATGCTAAAACTGGGAGACTTCATAAGCAGAAACCCACTCCCTACACAGTTCGGTTTTTTTTTTTTGTTTGTTTGTTTTGTTTTGCTTTAATTTATATGCCGCCCTTTTCCGGAGACTCAGGGCGGCTTACAATGCGTTAAGCAATAGCCTTCATACTTTTGTATATTTATACAAAGTCAGCTTATTGCCTCCACAATCTGGGTGCTCATTTTACCTACCTTTGAAAGGATGGAAGGCTGAGTCAACCTTGAGCCTGGTGAGATTTGAACTTGCAGTAATCGCAAGCAGCAGATGTTAATAACAGTGCTTTAGTCCACTGTACTACCAAGGCTCTTGTTGTTACAACATTACATTTTGATGTAATTTCCCTAAAGTTAATTACAAATGTCTCAAGAGCCTTTTTTTACTGATTTAAATAGTTAGGGGAAAGAATTTCTTATCTTTAGTTAGACTTAAGAGAAAGAGGTAACTTATATAATAGGATGAATGGCAATATATTCTTTTAAACAACAGAACTTTTTTCTTCTTCTAGGAGGTTCTAGTAAATGAACACTCTCATCAACCCTCTGATCAGACAACAGAAGCCAACTTGGACTTTTTTGAGTCTGATCCCTTCGTTGGTAGTAAGTATGTTCAGTTTTCTTTCCCTAGCAACTTACTAAGGAGTCATAATGATACTTCAATTGACCTTTGAACCAAGTACCCAGTGAGTCAACTTAATTTCACTAGATGCCTTTAGACAAACTTTTGATGAGAGTGGATTTCTTCAAGGCGATTGAACTAAATCAATTTATGCAAGATTTTGTTAGATATTAAGTATAGTAGTCCTCAACTTATTACCTTTATTCACAGTTACAACCTTTGCAGCATCTCCATGATCATTTGATCAAAATTCAGATCCTTGGCAACTGGTTCATATTTATGACCATTGCACCGTCCCAGGGTCATGTGATCACTTTTTGCAACCTTCTACTAGCAAAGTCAATGGGGAAGCCAGATTCACTTAACAACCAGGTTACTAATTTATCAACTGCAGTGATTCACTAAACAAATGTGGCAAGAAATGTCGTAAAATGGGGCAAAACTCACTTAACAAATTTTCACTTAACAACATAAATTTTGGACTCAATTGTGGTCATAAATCAAGAACTAACTGTATATTATTGTCCCCAGTTAAATTTTCATTGTTTGAAAGCTTTGCCTTTAAAAAAAAAACAGTACTAAATAAAGGCTAAATAACTGAAGATGTATCTATTGTTGATCAATTGATGTCAGTTCTACTAGATAACCTAGACCAATAGGAAATCATTATTCAGAGTCACTTTGTATAATGAAATAGACATCATGTAAAACTCCACAGGAAAGCTAAAACAGATTTTGAAATCAGCTATAAGATAACTTGCAAGTCTGATTATGCTATACCTCCTCCTCCTCCTTATAGTTGTGAACTTATCTTTCTGATCCCAATCCTGAATGTTATCTGGCTGTTTTAGAATTAAAATACTTTATTTTTCGGTCTATAACATGCACTTGTTTCCCCCACACACAAAGTGGGTGGAAATGTCTGTGCGTCTTATAAAGCAAATGTTGCCGAAGCCTCGCCCACCCACCAGCCCGTCTCCCAGCAATTTGCTTCCTTGCAGCAAACAGCCTGGTCAGCTTCAGCACAGCCTGATTTAACACAAGCAGCTGATTGGTGGTTGGATCTGCCTCCTGGAATGCCGCCAATCAGCTGTTCCAGGCTGAGGGGATCGCCACTGCCTATCGCTACCTCCGCACTCCCATTTTCAGCCTCTGCACATCCCGTTTTTGGCCAATTCCAGGCAGTGGGGATAGGCGGCAGCAGCAATCCCCGCCACTTGAAACTGGCTAAAAATGGGACATGTGGAGACCAAAAATGGGATGTGCGGAGGCCAAAAATGGGGCATGTGGAGGCAGCGATGGGTGGCAGTGATAATCCCCACAGTCTGGAATAGCTGATTGATGGTATTCCAGGAGGCAGATCCAACCACCAATCATCTGCTCATGCTAAATCAGGCTGTGCTGAAGCTGACCAGGCTGTTTACTGTTTGCTGCAAGGAGGCAAATTGCTGGGAGGCAGAGGCAGATTTTTTTCCCCTTGTTTTCCTCCCCTCCCCAAAAACTAGGTGTGTTTTATAGTCCAGAGCATCTTATAGTCTGAAAAATATGGTACATTTTACCCCTTGTTCCATTGGCAAAAGAGTTTCATATCTCTGACAAGGTCATCTTCCTTAGTTGACCTAGTTCCTCACCTCTATAGTTAAGCTACATTTGTCTCTTTCTGTTTGTAGACGGTAAAACTTCTAGTGGGCAAAAGGCCAAATAGTTATCAATGGATATTAGTGAAGATTTTTTTTTAAGCTATTGCTGTATCTAGGGAAGCTTTTTCTGCTCTTTGGAAAGTTTCATGACCCTATTCCTCAAGGAGTTCAGGCACAGAATAAGATAAATATAAACCTCTATCCATAGCCTGATATTCTGAACAAAGCTGAAAAATATTTTTATGGACAGTGTTTTACTTTCTAAATAGATGATCCTTTCAAGGATGATCCATTTGGCAAGATCGGTGAGTATTTGTTTTCTTTCCTTTTAACCTTTTAAAAGCATAATTTTCAAGATGTAAATCCATAATTAAAGAATGCATAACAGGGTGGAATTCTTTATTTGTAAAAATCCTCCAGATATTTTGGGTTCAGTTAATATATCAGCAAGCTAGAATGATGGGACTTGTAGATCAAACATTTGTGGGGTGGGAGACCTTTTTGGAAAAGACTCATGTACATTTAAACATTGAGTATGTTGAAGTACAATACTTTGGGGAACAATATGCAACATGGAATATTAATGTTCTAATTAATAAATACATAAACTAGCAGTATAATATTTTATTTTATAGTTTTATAGTTTTTGTGATAAATATTTACAATAGCAAACAACTAAGCACACCTTCTACTAACATTGTCTTCACTTCGCTGTCTTTAAGATCCTTTTGGTAGTGATCCATTTAAAGGTTCAGATCCTTTTGCTGCTGACAACTTTTTCAAGCAGTCATCCGCAGATCCCTTTGGGAATATTGATCCCTTCAGTGCAACAAACAACAATTCCACAGTAAGTCTTAGACAAGATTAGTATTGTGTGTACAGCAGATTTTGGTATGAAATGTCTCCATTAGGTTTGATATAAATAAACTTTGCTTGTTCCTTGTCCTCTGGACAGATATATTTCACAGACATCAGACATTTTACCTTTTATTTGTGCATCATGAATCTTTGAGATCACCTGAAAGCTTGGTTTAGACAACCTCTTGGCATTTAATGAAATCTAGAATTATTAGATAGCATGATATTTCACAATGGTTAAATAGGATTGTTGTGTTTTAGGAAGTTCTCAAAACAACTCTTCTCCATTTTCCTTTTATTTTGGGATCAATAGATTGTTTAATTCATGGCCCATGTAATTTAATGTGTTATATTTGCAGAATCCTAGAATTAAGGGTACTGGTATTTATAGACAACCAGAGGTAGAGTATTGGCATTCTTTATAGTGTTGGTGTTTTAATAACTTCTCAATGGATACCAGTTGGATACCAGCACCCATTTATGAAGGGTTATAGATGCTTCAAACAGAACAGAATTTATTTTAATATTGAAGTTTTGAAAATAACATTCTGAAAAGCTAAATACTGGAATGACTGGAAGGAATGTATTTTAAATGACTCAAGTACAGTTTAATGTTCATTTAGATTTCTCTCTTAATACTTGCAAAAAATAGCCTGTTTGATTTTAAGAATTTGCATTTAATGAATTTTAAATTTTAGACAGAAACACTGAAACATAATGATCCTTTTGCTCCTGGTGGAACTGCTGTGACTGCATCAAGTGATCCAGGTAAGAAATTATAATCACAATCTTAACCTATTTGAGGTGTGAGACATATTTGGATTTTTGAGAGTACATCATAGCTGCTTACTCAAAGTGGCTCCCACAGTGGCCATGGATTACCAAGGACCCTTTTCTGTATAGCAGAGGGAAGACAGTTCCTACAATACCTCCTCAACCATTATAATCAGGCCCAACTTACTTTACTTTTTGTTTTCTTTCCAAGGTAAGTTTGCTCATTTACAGAATACTAAATTATGGCTACCATTGACTGTTAAGCATGCTACTGAAATTATGCAATTCAATAATTTTTCTTTTAAATTCCTGTTAGCTTAAAAGAAAGTAATGTTAGAGGGGAATCTGAAAGATACCAAGTAATGTGTCCATAGGAGTTTGTTGTCCATATGCCATATCAGGGATCTGCAAATTTTGGCAACATTAAAACTTGTAGACTTCAATACCAGAATTTCTCAGCCAGCCATAGTGCTGAGGAATTCTGGGAGTTGAAGTCCACAAGTTTTAAAATTGCCATGTTTGAAGAGCCCTGGGCTATATTTTAGAACCCTCTAGTTATGAGCAAGTCAAGTTATATACATACAGACTAAGCTTTGTGACTCCCCCAATTTAATTGTGTTACATGTATGTGCATCTTTTTAGATTTCCAAAAAGCATCAAGCTCAGCCAAATTAATAATTTAAATAGCTTAATTACTTTATTTTTCAATCAAAACTAAACAGTTAATCCATTGTGTGATGTGTTTCATAATTTTAGGCATGACTGTCTGCCAGAATACATTTTTGTGTTCTCTTAACTAGACTAACTTCTGTAAACATGCTAAATTTGATTAGTTTCAACCCAAGAATTATTCATTTCAAATCCTTAGTGTTAAATGTGATTAGTATCATAATCCAATGTGATTATGTAATGGATTTTGGGAACCCGCTTTCAGAAATATTTGATTCTATCATGTTTAATTATTATATTTTGAAGGCATCAAATTTGACATAATTGTCATGCCTAACAGCAAAGTCGGACAAGGATTTAAACATTTTAAGATCTAAGGAATTATTTAACACACCAGAAGTAAAAGCAGATTCTGACACTGTTTCCAGTATCTGACACTTTCACATTTAGAAGCTTTTATAGTCAAAACTTTTCTGGATACTCCCCTGTTCCTATTCTTTCCCAATCAGAAATAACATTTTAGTGTCATCAGAAAATCTGTTCATATATACAGTAGCTCTAAGTTGAGAGCTGAAATTTTGACAGCTGAATTTCTACATGCTGGTGTTTTCAGGGTTAAATAAACATTTGGACAAGTTCTAAATTGCTCTTCCAGCTCAGATGCTGTCTGGGCTGAGCTAGTGTTTCTTATCAACTTTTCTCAGATAGTAAAGTAATATCACCTGAGCCGTGTCATCTTTTTTTTTTTAAATGACCAAGCGATTCATAATATTACAAAACGTTTTACTAATGCAGTTCCCATATTTAAACTCAAATGTTTGGGAAATTGAGTCAAGATGTGCAATGTATTCTGAAGAGAATCTATTCTTTAAGAATTAGACTAAGTGCAATACAGAGTTTAGATTTAGTGTTTTTGTTGAAGCTTCAACCACAAAAGACAATCTAGAGCAGTGTTTCTCAACCTTAGCAAATGTATGATCGCTGGACTCCAACTCCCAGAATTCCCCAGCCAGCCATGCTGGCTAGGGAATTCTGGGAATTGAAGTCCACACATCTTAAAGCTATCAAGGTTGAGAAACACTGATCTAGAGGGCTGGACTTCAATAGTACAAATATGTTGATGATGAATAATCTGTAGGAGAAGAATGGCAGTACTGGGGGCAGAGTTAAAAAAGGGATCAGTCTCAAATCCCTACTTTAGCTACAACGGGCTGTCCAATCCCTTTATCTAACCTTTATCTAACTCCAAACAGGTAGTAACCTTAGTTGAGAATAAGATTCCTGTGCATAGGCTGTTTAGCAATAAATCAATTTAATTGGATCTTCATGTGTGAACATGGTCTTTCGCACCTGTCACTATGTCTTATTATGTAAACATCCAAAATTGTCCTTTCATGCTACCTGGAGCTTGTATCAAGATGCTGCTGCTTTTGTGTCAGAAGCACCGAGGCACTTCCAGGTTGAAAGAATTAGCTGGTGACATCATTGTTGCCCAGAGGACAGTCGGATGGGGACACCTTTCATGTCCTTGTTAATGTGCCCACCAAAGTGGTACCCATTTATCTAGTTGTGTTTGCACACTTTTGAACTTCCTAGGTGGGCAGCAGCTGGAGCGAATGATGGGAGATCATGTTGGGTCTCGAATGTGGGCTTGCTGATTATCAATCCAGTGTTCTAACAAAGTGAGCCATCATACTCCTCTCCCTATTCAGATCAATGAGCTTACAATTTGATGGGTATACCTTGGGAAGATAGGCTCCATATGGTTCCTGTGCATTCTGAACTTCTGAGTTTAGCACTAGCTATTAAATAGATAATTATTCATTTGTAATATATTTTAGCACATCCTAAATCAACAAGAAGAAATTTGCAAGTTCATGTGAGATTCCTGCAAAAATTTTTATCTTTTATTTTTCGATGCAATACTTATTACTATACAAACACAAGCCTGCCTTGTTTAGACAGTCTTTTATTTTAAAAAAAAATAGTAATATTTGATATTTAAGTTACTCTTGCAGGTGTATTGAAGGCAAATCTATCAGCTATCCTGTCCTTCCTTTATTTAAGACCATTAGAAAATCTATTGTATATAGCTCCAGAGAAGCCAACTAATTATAATCAGCAAGAGTGTCAGCTTTGACATTGTATCAACACAATTAGTTTAAACACCACCAGTGACAAGTTTGCCTGCCAACTAGACTTTTTCATGTACTCTTTGCAACTATATTCCTTCTTAACACATTTATTTGGGTCATTTATCAGACTATGATGGGAAAAGTTAATGTTACTATTTATATGAAAAATGTAGTCATGGCAAAATTGTGCCAAAAGAAAGTGTAACTTAGCTATCAGTTTCTAGAAGTGAGCTGAATGGTCCACAGTTTTTTTTTGTGTAGTGTGCCTTCCAAATGGTATCAAATATCCTGTATTTCATTGTAACAATATGCATACAAGTGAAATAGAAAACTAAAATATTTTAAGACTCGTCATATTTGATTTTGAGTTTGAATTCCTTTGTACATTTTGAGGGCCACAATAAGCAAAATAATTTCCATCATCTCTTGCAATAACTTCTAATTATTTTGATGACATTCCTGAGGTTGGTTTTTGGTGTTTTTTTTTTAGTTTAATTCCATATAATAAACTGAATGAGAGCTGAGTGTTAGTGAGCTTTACATAAGCCTTCTTCATATCTGATGAAAATACAGATAGTTTAATAAATAATTTGTTTCCTGTTTTTCATCCTGCATGGTTTTTGGTTTTTGTGCCTCCAAATCAGTGTCAACTCCTGCCTGGACATGTCCTTACTATTTTGGCAAAATTTCAGAAGTGGTTTGTCATTGCCTCCTTCCTAGGTCTGAGAGAAAAATGACCAGCCAAAAGCCACCCTACTGGCTTTGTGCTTAAGGCATATTTAGAACTCGAGTCTCCCAGTTTCTAGCCTGATGCCTTTGCCACTGCACCAGTTTAGCTCTTATTAGATCCTTGCATTGGATTTATCTTCTTTTCTTTATGTTTTCCTTTGCTTACTTCAGCTACAGATCCCTTTGCATCTTTGTTTGGAAATGAATCATTTGGCTGTGATTTTGCTGATTTCAGCACTTTGTCAAAGGTAATTTGAAATGATTAATGCTTGTGGACAAAGTATAAAATTGCTCAGGAACAAATAAAACTTCTGCAAACATTGTAATTTAAGTAACTTGATTCTCTATATCTCATTAATTATAAGTAACTAAGTAACTATATCTCATTAATTATGGGATTATTTGTTTTCTTTATAAAAGCATTGTGGTTAATGGGAAATTACATCATAGGCACTTGTTCATTAGCTCAGCAGTCCAACCTTTGCGGCTTGGTGGCCCGGGTGGTAGAGGGGAACTGAGCAGCATGCTGGCATGTATGCGCACACAGCTCAACTGTAAGTTGAGCTGTGTGCATATGTGCTGGCCTGTTGCTCACGCAAGTCAAGCTATGCATGCGCCGGCCCACCTCTCGCACGGCCCGGTTCCAAATAGGCCATAGTCCGATAGTGGGCCATCGCCTGGGGGTTGGGAACCCCTACATTAGCTGATTTTGATTAGCTGATTTTCTTCTTCAATTCTCAAAATATAATCTGCTCAAGATTCAACTTATTTCTGAAGCCATAATATTTGATAATTCATTAAGCCAAGCCAGACCTGCAATTTGTTGCAGCAGGATTGACATTGAAAAAGTGAAACTGAATGTACAGTCCCAATCATTCAATTCAGTATCATCATTACAGGAAATGATATAGCAGAAACACAACTTTGAGAGTGACACAGTCATGGACACACATGCCATATAGTAATTTTACACAAAAAATAGTTTTTCCAAAAAGCCATCAAAACCTGTACCCTTCATTTAAATCAAAAGGACTTTAAACATTGGCAAACACCTATCATTAATATTTAATAAACTCATAATAAACAAAGATGAAAGCTCTGAGTAGCTATAGAAATCATTACTTTTTGGAGGACTCCAAATCCCTATCAAATAGTACACCACCTCCATGTTTAGTGACCGCATCCATTCCTTAAATTGGAAGCAAAATGATTCGGGGAAAAAGAGATATGCTGCAAAGATCACTGGTTGCTGCCATCCTATTTGGATAAAATTCTTTCGTGCAGCATTATTCTCATTCCAGTGCATGTGATTGTCAAGTGCAGAAATTTGATTGCAAGTACCTGCATTGGTTGGAAAATAATTTTTAAATAAGTATTACCATCATACTTGTGAATAGATGCTAAAAAAGATAGTACTAAATGAGGAGTGGCCTTTGTTCTGTGGCCTATAAATATACTATGTAGTTGGAAACTTCAAATAGCACCTCTGGGGGAAAATATTAAAGCATGCATGTTTGAGTTCTTTATATTAAAGCAGGCGTATACAATCAGGTAGTCCTCAACGTACGACCATAATTGACCCCAAAATTTATGTTGCTAAGTGAGAAATAAAATGAGTTTTGCCCCATTTTATGATTTTTCTTGCCACATTTGTTAAGTGAATCACTGCAGTTGTTAAATTAGTAACACGATTGTTAAGCAAATCTGGCTTCCCCGTTGACTTTGCTTTGTCAGAAGGTTGCAAAAGGTGATCACATGATCCCAGGACACTGAAACCATCATAAATGTGTGTCAGTTGTTAAGCATCCAAATGTAAATCACATGACCATGGGGATACTGCAATGGTCACAAGTGTGAAAAATGGTCATAAGTCACTTTTTTCAGTGTGATTGTAACTTCAAACGGTCATTAAGCAAACTGTTATAAGTCGAGCACTACCTGTGAAAAATGTGATTAAAGCATTGCTTTATGGTGGAAAACTGTGGCTGGTGGGAATCAAGTAATGACATTCATAGGAGCTTAGTAAGCAGCAGTTGGGAGCAACAGTAATATGAGGCCTATAATGATCTGTAAATAAAACAAAAGACCCCAACTTGTGCATAATGGAGTTTATTTCCTGTCTTTTTTTAAGACGAACAATGAGGATCCTTTTAATTCATCTGCAACAAGTTCCGTTAACAATATAGTTATAACAAAAAATTTGTTCGAGGAAGCTCCAGTCAAAAATGAAGATACTCCTCCTGCTTTGCCTCCTAAAACTGGAACACCTACCAGACCTTGTCCTCCCCCACCTGGTAAGAGACAGTATTAAATCTATAAATGCTAAGGTTTATATGGAGCTTTTTTCAGATGTAATGAAACTGTAAAAGAGCATCCTATATTTTCCCCCACGTTCTGTAATACAAGAATGTCCAATTTAGTTACAAACTAATTTTCATTTTTTAAAACTTTGGGTTGTATTTTTTTTAAATGTCCAGTGCAATAAATTATAAAAGAAGCTGTTATTTTGTATTGTTCTAATAGTACTATAAAACTCTAAATTTAATTTGATACGGATGGCTGATTTGAACCATTTTTAATATGAACTGTGATTTAGATGGCTAGCTCCCATTTTATATGTTCAAAACCATTCATGTAATGAAAATCGTGGCAAACATTATCTACTGTCCAACTCAATACCCTCATCCTGTAACTTTAGAATATTTTAGAAAATCACATGAGTTTAGGATATGTAGCATTACTTAATACTATATACTGAATATATTATTGTCATGTTCATAATTATGCTAACTGGTTATTTTGGTGTAGGAAAAAGACCTATCCACAAATTGGAATCTTCAGAATCTTTTAAATTGAATGATCCTTTTCAGCCTTTCCCAAGTTCTGATAGTTGCAAAGGACAGGAAGCTGATCCATTTGCTCCCAGTGGAGTAGGCAAAGAGATGGATTCCAGCAATTTTGCTAATTTCAATGCTGTAAGTACGGAGATAGTCAGTTAAATGATTGTTTTGCAAGAACAGTGAATGTTCCTATAAACCTTGAAGATGGGAATCAGTTCCTCTGTATTAGTAATCTCTTATTTAAAGAATACATCATCATGATCTATTTGGAGAGAAATAGCTTGTTGTTAGCCTTCCAGTAACACATTAACCACGATGCAATAATAACAGTAATTCTGAAAGTTCTCTGAGGTTTTAATCTAGCCATAATTGCATGCAGTATTATATGATGTCCATATATCTAATCTGTAGCAGGACTTACAAATTGATATTGCAACAAGACAGTCTTAGCTCCAAACACTTCCCTTAGCAAGCAGTCATCCAGCAAGCCTCTTCTTTCCTGCCCAGGCATTCGAAAAGGCAGCTGGTTGCAATGTCTGCATGATCCTTAGTTGTTATATTGCATGACAGTCATTTGATACGTTTTCTTGAAAGAGGTGGAGAAAAAGTAAATAACATTCTGAATCTATTGACCACATGATACAGAACTATTCACAAAATTTAGTTTACTTTCTGTGATTAATTATAGGACTAGTATACTGTATGATGTATTTTAAAATAATTCATCTGTATACTTTGCAAATGATAGTACCTGGGCCTTTGTTTGCCTGGGTTGGAAGCTAAGTGGGGTCTGATCTAGTTAATACTATGATGGGAGATAAACTGAAAAGTAAAAAAAAAAAAAAGACTTATTCCTTTCATATTACAGTGTTCACAAATTCTTACTTGCTGTTCTACTAACAAGTCTTATGTTTTTTCTGTTTTAGTATCCTACTGAAGAAGATATGATTGAATGGGCAAAAAGAGAAAGTGAGAGAGAGGAGAAAGAGCGACTAGCAAGATTGAAGCAACAAGAGCAAGAAGATTTAGAACTAGCAATTGCACTCAGTAAATCTGAAATATCAGAAGCATGAAGGGTTGCCTCAAATATTTCTCCTTTTCCTTGGATATCTAAGCTATACGTAAAGTAAATCAGAAGTTACATATGAATGGGAAAGTCAAAAAGGCTTTAAATCCTGCAAATGTGATTTTTTGAGCAATTATCTTATTTTTAACTTTTTCATATCCATTATTTTCATTTGGCAATTGTTTAATATAGCAATTTTCCATTTGTACTTACCTTGGAATTCTTCTGTACTGTACACTATTACACCAAAGTAGCTTATTTTAACATGCAAAAAAAGGAAAACCCTGACAACTCTACATTTTTAAATTTGAACACAGATGCACAACAATATATTGTGGACGATTTCAAAAGACAAATATGTTTCATGCAAAGTACTTTTTTCTATGTAATATATTCTTTGCAGTGTGAAAATCTTTAAAAATGCAAGTGTGAGTAACTGTGAAGTGAACACATTTGTCCTTTAAAGATGGCTAGGTCACATATGAGAGATCTATGTTCTAAAATATTAATAGATGGCATGTTTTATGACTTTTCAGAAGGGTCCTATTTGCAATTCCTATAATATTGAATTATTTTAGTTCTTCCAGGCCTGCATTTGGCCTGTAAGTAAAACTGGCGATATAGTTAATCAAATTATAGTTATTTAAAAAGAAAAATCTAGCTTGCAAATATTCAGGTAATTAAAAATTCTGATAATCCTGCTTTGTATTGAAATATTCATGTCTGACATTACAGTATTAAAATTTATATTTTATATTTTACAGAGATAGCATTTCATCTTAAATACATGAAATGCTTTATGCTTCTTGTTTTCTTTTTACTGGAAGCTCCAATACTGGACTGGATATCAAATAGAAAATTTCTTTTCCCCCCTGCATTAACTGCCTTTTTGCCTGCCCATTAAGAGTCTAAAGAAACTTAGACGTTTTCCAGGGAGATAATAAAATTAGACTGGCCAAATTCAGTGTCACGAATTCTGATGCTAATTGAGCCAGTTTCTTTTGTGAAATATGCAAAAAAAATGGTGATTTGACAGCTGAGTTTGAAATAAGGTAGGAAGTAGACTGCACAAAAGATAACTAACAACAGTCAGTTACTGTTGTGTATAATTTATTGAATGCCAACTGATGGTTGCACCTTAAATTAAATACCCTTATGTGGACACGGAGTCAAAGTAAGATTGAATGTTAAAGAAAAATAAGTTATTTCCTATTCTATATAATGTGTTACATAGTGCAGAGTGTTGAATTCATTCCAGATACCTTCCTTTTTACTCTGAAATGCTTAGTTAGGCTGCAGGCTTACAAAATAGGTGGTCCTGTGTCATTACCACCCCACCCCAATGCATGATATGGTATTTATAACTAAATTTTTTTTTTCTTCTGCTGCAAAGGATTCCATAATTGCCACTGTCAGGATAAGGTATTTCCATTTACCTGTGGATGCTGCTGTCAAGAATCTTTTGAAGAAAGTAGTGTTTCCTCATTTTTTAAATATTAGTTTGGATAAACTTTCTCTTTTGCACTGAGAAATGAGAATTTAAACACCTAATAAACAAAATAAAACCTCTTGCCAAGTATTAATAACCTTAATTTTCTCATGGACTTTCATGGCATTAATCATACAATTTGTGTGGTTAACTGCATTTCTTACTTTTAAATGTATACTTGGTGGACCAATACATTATCTGTGTCATCCATAGTCATGTATACATGTACGTGTATATATGTACACAAACATTAATTCATTCAGGCATAGGATTAAAAGTTCTGAGTCACCTGATGTGACATTTTATGTTACTGATAGATCACAGAACTTTTACTCGGAGTATCTCGATAAACCACTGCTATGTCAGCTTTGATGGCATTACTACTAAAGTTCTAAAAGGCTTGTAAGAACTTTTTCAGGCGGGGTTAACCTCTATTTATAGACTTTGTTTAAAAATTCTAAATACAGCCTGTAATTACGAATTAAACTGTTTAAGTATACATGATGAGCCTAGAGAGTTTTTTTAATGTTTTGTGTAAGGCATAACGCATCACCTGTTTGGATCACTGTTCAAAAATTATTTCACCTGATACAAATATATAAGTGGAAAAAAATGGTTCAACTAATACTTCTGAATATCAGAAATATGTTCCAACCTCCAGATTAAACTGCCATCTCCTATTAGCATGACATTAGATTTGCAGACCAACCAATTCCAGTATGGTACATGAGATTACCATCTTTAAAACTCATTCTGAAATGGAAAGCAAGAAAAAGATAAATACTGGTCTTTTCAATATCTATGTTTCAATATTATAAAGCATGGTAACTTTATAATTGATCTTCTTTTGAAAAGTCACCTTTTAGATTGTTGCATGATTATTGTACAGTTCAATAAGGTCTGCAATAAAACCTCTACATCAGTAATTTGATGGCTGGATTTATAACTCGCACTAAGATGAGCCCAAATAAACAAAATTTTTGGTTAGCACAAATGTGCTAATCCAGTCACTGAAATCAAAGTAATTCTATTGCCGATCTATTAATAGTTTATAGTCTATTATCTATCAATAATTTCTATTGAAATCTATTAGGATTTCAGTTTATCAAAATTTCCTTCTTTCAAGATCTAGTTAAGAACTATCTTTGTCAATATCGGTCTAATCCAAGCCTTACCTAACCTGCAACTCTCCAGATGGATCAATTCTGCAGTTCCCAAAATGTTGCCATGAGCTACAAGTTGCGCTCAACAGATTTGAAATTATGACTTTGGGAAAAGGAGAACTTTGTATGTATTTTGATCTATTTCAAGAGGCCTGATGTCTCTATTTGAGGATTTGCACATGTGAACACTCAAGTGGATACAAATGGTGGATTACCCTTACTGAGCAGACCAATATATGAGTGCTGGTTGGTCTCTGTTACATTTGTAATAGTTTTAAATGACCCACTTTACTAAGAAAACATCTTAATCTACAGCTTTTATTTCCCACTTACCTCTTCTTTTATACTGTTCCCAGCTTCCAACAGTATGCCTAATAGTACTGTCCATGCTGAGAATAATGTAGAAGCATTTCTGACTGTATAAATCTTAAACAGAAAAATAATGTACTTGTGTGGAGTCTGAAGAACATGCTAGATAATATTCATAGTATGCACAGTTTTAATACATAAACTATGCCGTTCATTAAGTGAAATGTCCTCAAAATGTGTGTGTATCATAACAGATGTGATAGATTTGTACTACTATAAAGATTAAAATGACTTATCTACCCATCTGAAACTTTTTTGTAACTTTGGATGTTTTACATTAGTTATTAATTCTGGTTGATACCTAGTATTACACTGGTTAACTTTGCTTTTTTAAAAAATCTACCTTAAATATTGAGGTACTGTGTGAATAGAATATACACATGATCAACACATGTAGATTGATTGATTATGTACCATCAAGTTGGTTTGATCTTGTCTGACTTCTGGATAGAAACATGGCAGACTAGTACAGTATGTCTCTGAGAAATACCGAGGATAATGCAGAGGCAAAGACCAATGGTCAGACAATATGCCTGAGGTAACAGAGCTTTTCCAGACAAAAAAGCAGCCATTAAATCATCTACATGAGCTCCAGAGGTGGGGATGAGGTCCACATGAGGAAGCCCATAGGAAAAGAAACTACGTATCAGCCTTCCCAAGGCTGTAGAAGATGACTACATTTAGTGTAAGGATACATTAGTAGAATCTTGCAAGCCTTAAAAGTACAGACCTACTGCCATCTCTTTACTGAAGTTAGTGTGGATTCTCTCAGTTTTTTAACATCAAGCCCCTGGAAGCTCCTCCCTTTCTCTTGTGTGTTTATTTCCTAGGCACATCATTTCCCCTCAATCCCCAAGATCACCCATACACCCAGATGTAAACTACCATCTTCTACTAGATGGCATCACGCCAATTTCAATATTGTATATCATGCTTAAAGCTTTGTGCAAATTCTGTTTAAAGGATGCCCGTCTGATCCACTTTCTAAAGCACATTTAACATGTAAAGAAGCCTTGAGAATACTTAAAGCTGTTTGCATGAGTTTATCTTCAATCCACAAAAGAATAAAGTTAAAAAATGAAAATGCCAGTTACACATTTTTTTAAAAGAATTAAATGCAAAAGTCTTACTGGGAGCTTAGAATAAGAAAATTTAAAAAACAGCCTAAAGGGACAATTAAATTTGGAATATTGCCTCTTTAAAATGCTTTTTTAAATTACAGATAATGTACAGTATATTTCTGTGGGAAAGAAAGAATATATTAATTAAGGAAGCTTTAACAGTCTGATTGACAGACTGTTAAAGAGATAAACAGAAGAGAAACATGAAGTTCTGAAAAGATCATGTGATCACAGAAGTACAGAGTGCTGGATGGCACCAGTGTTAAGAACATGGGGGGGGGGGAAGCCTCTTTAATGTTTTACTCCCCTTTTACAGATTGTAAATTTGATATATATAACAATGTTTATTACTAAAGAGTGCGAAAATGATCGTTAGCCTTAATAGGCAGACCAGACAGGAAACAGAATCAGATGAGATAATTCTATCTTATTAAAAAGATAAAAGGCAAGGAGCCCCTGTGGCCCCTCGGCTAGTTGTTGCCAACTCTAGGGGGCAGTGCTGATCTCCATTTCAAGACCATTCAGCCAGCGCTGTCCAAAGACAAGTCTGCGGTCATAGCCAGCATGACCATACAGAGCGCTGTTATCTTCCCACCAAAATGGTACTATTTACTTGTATTTGTATGCTTTCAAACTGCTAGGTTGGCAGGAACTGGGGCAAGGACAGGTGCTAACCCTGTCACGTGGCACTTGGGTCTCGAACCTGCCTGCTGGGTTTCCAGCTGACAAAGCCAGTGTCTTAACCGCTGAGTCACTGTGCCCAATAGAAAAAGATATATTAACAGAATTTTGAAAGCCTGAAAGTACAATTTTCCCACCCTCATCATTAAAACCTTACAACTTGGGGTGATTTATAGTTATGAAAGGAAAAAGAGGAACTGTTAAACCACTTCAAAATAATGTATCTATGATAGATAAATTCATACAAAAGGATACTCTTTTGTTGTCCAGCAAGGTTATTAGATGTGTATAAAATGCTTATATATTGAAGTTATCACGATGGAAGATAAAATGACAGATATTTTATGGAATACTAAACCTAGACTTTTTGCTGAAAATGGAAGAACTAAAATAATTTCTAGACTGAACAATTAAAATTGTCTTTGATGGGTATGTATCTATGCACATAAAAGATAAATTATGATTTTTTTAAAAAAAACAGAATAACTATGGCTTAATTCATACATTAGGTATTTGCTATTCAGCATAAGAGATGGCTGCATGTTTTCTTTTCCCTGAACCACTTTTAAGTTCTTCCCGAGAATTTAATTTTTATGCTACCTGCCAACCAGCCCTGTTGAAACCCTTATGGATTTATCCTCCCCTCCCAATGGCAGAACTTGTAAATGTAATGCGGAGAACACTAATAATTAAATGAACCCATCTTTCCTAAAAAAAAAAAAAAAAAAAAAAAAACCTCTCACGCTTTCTTCTTCCTCTTGGTTGATGGATCCAGTCAGGAACTGTTCAGTCTTCCTTCCAGCCAGAAGGAAACAGAGAGAAAAGAAAGAATGTATTAGTCTTGGGCGTTTCAGACACGCAGTAAATTGATTTAAGACCCTGGCTTGGGTCTTTTCCGCTTGCGTTTAAACCTAAAAGCTCCCTCTGGACTCGCGCCACACCCTGATCAGACGCAAAGGGGCTCCTGGCCAAAGTTGGTGGGCAGGGAAGAGCCAAGACGCCGCTTCACAGCGGCACTTTCTTGTAGCCGATCCCTCTAGAAGCGGCCCCTTTGAAGAAGCTAGAAGAGGTGGAGTCCAACCCGGCAGGAGGGGTTGCTCCGAAGCATAACAGAACTACGTTTCTATTATAAAGACTGCAAGCCACTGGCTTTCAAGCTGGGGAGAAAAGAAGAAGGCCGGCTTCAAGCGCCCTCTGGATTTTTCAGAGGAAAATCTCTCGTAGCCAGTTCAGATCTGACAAGCGCTTCCCTGCCGGGTGCGATGGATGCGCAGCACATGCGGAGAAGGAGGAGCGAAGCCAAAGACCCTAGGTAGATACGAAGGTGGGGTGTTGGTCCTTTATTTGCGGGGATGGCTTGTTTCCCTCAGTTTTCATGCCTTTTGCTTTCAACAGCATAAGCACGATGATGGCAGGCAGAAAAAATCAACCGGTGAAGTTTTCGGTTAGCAATGGGTTTTGTGAATAAGCACCAGTTGAACTTTCATATTATTGGTCTTTGCTGAGGTTGAAGACAGATTGCTGTATTTTGAATTATTGAGCGCTGTTTCTCCTCTTTCCTTTGGCCTTCTTTCTGATTGCAAACTACTTGGAATGTTTTAGGGAAATGTCTTACAGAAAGCTGACTGTGGCTATGTTCGCTTTGCTTATACTGATACAAAAATGAACCATATTTTAATGAGTTTTCTAGAACCTCTGTTATTATCTAGCTATTGCTGAATTTTTGCAGATAGCATATAGTTCTATTTGACCTATTTCAAACCCAGAGAGAGTGCGGTTAGTTTGTTCAGTCTGTTATTGCAAATTGAGAAGAAATTATTAATTGCTAATTGACTAAAGTTGGATCTGTCTAATGATTGGCAAATGTACATTGCTTATAAATAATGTAAGTATGGAGCATATGCACATAAGAAAGGTGACAACTGTACAAATGAACTGAAATCATCAGCAGATCTAAAGAGCTAGTATTAATAGAGAATGTAGATGGGCCTGTGGTTTTGAAGTATTTTTCTTGGTCAGATAGGCTGGGGAGAAGGTAATAGTATGGTTTTCTTACAGTTAATGACCACTTTTAAGTCCTATTCCATAATTAGAGTTATGGAAATAGGGATGAAAGAAACTAAGCAAATTGTATAGAATAAAAAGCAAGTGTGTTAAAAAATAAACCTAAAATACAGAAGCAGATTCAAAATCTATCAGAGGATAAATTTTCATTTACTACCTATTAGATGGTAAATAAGTACAATCCTATATTTTATTATCATAGCTAAGTAGAGAGATATCTTGATTATAGATACGACCAGGGTATCTTGAATTGCCTTCTTGATGAGTCATTTGACAGAGAAAGAGAATCAAAGCTGTGCAAGTAGGACTACTGGGAAAAAAATAGATTACCTTGAACTATAAAATTTGGGGAGGATTCTTTGCAGTCTTGGCTGTTGGGATGTGCCTGGCATGACAATTATAATGTGGACTATAGTTAATAAATGTTGTTGTCATAATAAATGTACTAGGCATTGAGGTGTAATTAAATTGGTCATTGTTTCTACTGTAACATATGAACACAGCAACTTTCTGGGAATTTGGATTCAAGGAGCACTTGGTAGTTGATTCAGACTATTAAAATTAAACTGCATAGTCATATCAGTAAATAATAGCATAAAGCCTCTCTGCTAGTTGTGGCCTTTTATAAAATCACGCTCCCTATCCTGGAGAAGGGGCTGAAAGACACATAAAAGCCTATATACAGAAGCCTATACCGTATATATCTGAAAGATTAAGGGAAGGCAGGCTGCATAATTTGATAACCTCAGTTTGGTGCTAGCCAGAATCAAGAAGAACAAAAGTTTGCTGCCCATTTTCTTTATTAGAGCTACCAAATATGGCCTGCAAAAATCTGGATAATCATCAGATGGTAGCAAAGTGGAACAGAAAACAGCTCTTTGCTGCCATCGGGTGATTATCCAGTTTTTTGCTGCTCAGATATGGAACCCAGCTTTTTATGAGATGTGAAGTGAACTACAGGTACAGGGCTTTGCTTTTCATTCCACATGGCAGATTACTAGGTACAAACAGCTACTGTATATAAATTCTGCTAATGTGAAGTCGAGACAGGGAAGCTCTACTACAGTAGTTTGCAAGTACTATAGACAAAGAGGGTTCTAGTTCTACTGTGCATGTTGAGAAGGGAAGGAATGATTCAAGAGAAAATTGTTTTGATAATTATTAATAAGGGGGCATAATGCCTCAGCAGTTAAAGACATGAGCTTGTCAGCTGGAAAGCACGGGTTCAAAGGCCCGAGTGCTGTGCAATCGAGTGAGCTCCCAATACTTGCCCCAGCTCCTGCCAATTGAGCAGTTCAAAAGCATGCAAATGTGAATAAATAGGTACCACTTCAGTGGGAAAGTTCCATGCACCTCGGTGTATAATCATGCTGGCCACATGACCACGGAAATGTCTTTGGCTAATGTTGGCTCCTTCATCTAAGGAACCAAAACAAACACCTCCACCTAGAGCCAGACACAACTGGACAGGGGAAACCTTTACTTTTAATCATTTAAAAACCACCAAGGTGATTGACTTCCAATATTTTAAAATTCACTTCCTCTTATTCTGGTAATCCATGACAACATTATTGGGGGTATTGCAGGTGGGATCAATAAGTCAACATAGCATTCATGATCATAAAGTTCCACTCATTTTTTACATGAGTTGCTTAGTCACAGATACCAATTATTATTTTTTTTTACTTACCCCTGGGATGTCCCTCATTACTACTGCCACAAGACTAGGCAGTAAAAGCTCCCTAGGCCAAGCCTCAGGATATTTGGGGATAAACAATGTATAATTAAACAATAGTGCTTATGCCAATGGTTTGGTCAAAGCCTTCCAATTCTACTTTCAAATTCAATTCCCACAGTAATTCCTGTCTTTCCCAATGGGACTGGCCCACCCCACCAGTGCTGGCAGAGGTGGCATATTGCAGATCCCATCAGTCAAAAAAAAATCTGGCTGGTGGGTTCCAGGAGAAGAGCCTCCTTTGCTGTGACTTCTGACCTCTGGAATATCTTACCCCTGAGGTGAGATTGGGTCCCACCTCCTGAGGTTTCGTAAGAGCCTTAAGACCTGGCTCTGCCAGATGTCTTGGGGACCCAATGGGGAAACTTCATGCTGGAGGTGGTTGACTAATTAAAACTTATATTCTTTCATCTATACAGAGAGAGATAAGGAAGACACATGTCTAATTTATTGCTTAATTGAGGTGAGTGTGTCTAGGTTGAATTTGTTGCCAGCAACACACAAGAGGAGATGTGGGGCTATTAAATGTTAAACAGGCCTTGGTAAAAGGCAGGATACGCCAGAACCCATTTTCACATGTTCATATATTGCATTATTCATAAGTTTTTAAAAGGTCATAAAAGGGAGACGTGGTTCTTGTTTTCTTTCTAATTTTGTTAGTCATGAAACAGATATAGATATAAGGTTATTATTAAATATAGTCTGCTTTTATTGAGCCAGCAGACAGGTGAGAGGAATTGTTCTGTAAGCTAAAATTGTTTTGGCTCTTGGAGGGAATATGCTTCAACTGTAATCGAAGAATTTTCTCATTTAAAGAATGGAGCCATTTTGATTTAATTTATAAAAAGCTGTGTCTTCTGTTTTTAACATTTTTTACTTCAAAGTAAAGCAGTAGCACATAAAATTTTGTCCTAAATACTTATCCCATTTTAGGTGAAACTATTACTGTTAAATTCAGTGAAAAAACTGTATTCAAATTGGTATGCCTTACATTGACTTATCTATTTATTAAATTTTCCCATCTCCTCTATAAGGCCCTTGTATTTAAAAACTTGCTATATTAGAAAAGTGGGGAGATGCTGGCAAAAGATCCACTTAACCAAAGTTTTAATATTAAATCTAATCTGGAGGAGCAGAAATCCTTTGCCGACTCTAAAAGGATGGTTAAGAAATAACCCACGGGTGCTGCATCACTGATCCCAGATTTAAAGCATTTAACTGGTGGACTATATTTTGCTGAGTGACGCTCATCAAGTCATTTCAGTATCACAAAACTGTTAGGCCCTTTTTTCATGGGACTAGATAATGAGATCAACCTGTTTATATAGTAGCTGGTCTGTACACAAAGATGAGCTGAACCTAATGGTTTGTTTTTACCTGCAGAATTTGTGCCTCTAGTCTCATTACAGATTTTGAGGGTGCAAATGGAACTGCAGGGAATTGCGTTGCATGAACAAAATGAAATGGGGGGGCTGTGGGGTGTGAGACTGGATTCCATAAATTTTCCCTCATAACCTAATACTGTGCTTGTTGACTTCAGCCAAAATGCTTCAGTTGGCTCTACGTCATTTTGTGTATTTCCAAGATTGCTTTTTTTTAATTTTTTTTAACGAGTGCTGAACAAATAATCCACTGTTCCTTTAAATCAAGATCATATGCCACTGTAATTCACTCCTTCCTCAGGATATTGCAACTAGGTGACCTCCTCATCTTTCCATAGCAACTCTACTGGGAAAGACACAGTAGTTGCCCATTGACATTCAACTCAGCTGACAATAATTAACCTCCCAATCACCAAAAACATCTTTTGAATGACTTATGAAAGGTTTTACCCTAGGAAACCATACAAAATCATACAAAATGCATAATTCTCCCCAAACTAGCTTCTAAGGCAGTTTTTCTCTATCTCAGCAACCTTAGAGTAAAGTGGAGAAAGCCCCAAATTTTATAACCAACTACAGCTTCCTAGCTAATGCCCGTGGAGGCTATAAGCATATGAGCCTAGTGTTGGCTCTAACCTTAGCCTTCCCTACACCACAGCCCACTGCCACACACCATCTTTTCCTAGGAACTCTGTCTAAGCAATCTCCACTTTTTGAGTAGCTGGCAGCCATTTTCTGCCATGGGAGTCTCTTCAGGAAATGGCTCCCACAAGGCCTCTTTAGCTGGCCTTGCCAAAAGGGGCCTCTTGTTAGGCCACAGGCTCCTCCTAAGGAGGAGGGCCTTTTGCTGTGCTGTGCTGTGTTGTTTACAACCATTCGCTTAGTGACTGAAGTTACAATGGCACAGAAAAATGTGACTTATGAGTGTTTTTCACTCTTACAACCATTGTAGCATCCCCATAGTCTCCCCATAATCAAAATTCAGATGCTTGGTAACCGATTCATATTTATGACGGTTGCAGTATCCCAGTGTCATGTGATCACCTTTTGCGACCTTCTGACAAGCAAAGTCAAAAGGGGAAGCCAGATTCACTTAACAGCCATGTTACTAATTTAACAACTGCAGTGATTCACTTGATGTAAAATATGTGGGCAAACACTGACAGAGGCTTGGTTGCTCTAACTCAACTTTATTTAAAATCAACTACAACAATAATAACCCACAAGTCAGAGTCTGACAGCCGCTTAAATACTCCGCTGTCAGAAACTGTTCAACCAATCAGGAGGGAGGGATTTCCCTCCTTTTCAGCTGCTCGCGCCAGAACCAATCACAAAGCCTGGCAACAGACCGGAGGCTGTTAGAACTGTAAATATGCCGACATAACACCCCTTCACACCCGGAATGCGCACTCGTAGTCCTCCAAGTACGCGGGACGTTGACGCTGCCTCCCAGACTGTCTTATACTTGGTGAACTTGTTGGTACGGTTGGCGATGCCTCGCCTGCCCGCTTCTGCTCAACCGGAAGTGGATCCTGTCCAGGACTTGAACTCACCGCCGGAGCGGAGCTGTCAGGTAAGACCACCGGCGCGAACGATCTGGACAGTTGAGGCCGGCCGGCCTCCGGTCTGGGAGGAGGACTATCTGGATGGTGCGAGGCTGTGGGTGTTGACGGGTCAGGGGAAGGTCGAGTGTCTAATTCTGCAGCCCGTCTCCGTAGTTGGTTGACATGCCGCCTCCAAATTCTTCCGTCGGTGAGAAGGACCCTATAAGAATAGGGTCCAGTTATTTGAAGAATCTGTCCCGGCAGCCAACGGGGGTCTCTGTCAAAATTAAGTGCATAAACTCTTTCCCCCAACCCAAAAACCCTAGGGGGAAACCGTGTCCCTGCAGGTGGGCCATGGGTGTAACTTGGGTGTAAGCGATCCAGGGTCGTTCTTAGCCTCCTACCCATTAGCAACTCTGCGGGGCTTTGTTTGGTGGTGGCACAAGGGGTGGTGTGCTGCGCCAACAGGTATTGGTGGATCTTGTGATGCCAATCGGTGGACCCTAACCTACGCAGAGCCTCTTTGGCTGAATGGACGGCCCGTTCAGCTTGTCCATTAGCAGCCGGATGTTGCGGGGCAGTCTGAGCATGGCGGATCCCCAAACGGGCTAGGAACATCTGAAAGGGTGCCGAAGTAAACTGCGGCCCATTATCCGTAACAATAACATCAGGTAGCCCATGGGTCGCAAACCAACCTTCTACCACCCTAATAACGGCCGAAGACGTTGTGGAGTGCATTAAGGACAACTCAACCCACTTGGAATGGGCATCCACCGCTATTAGGAAGGTCTGGCCCTGGAAGGGACCAGCAAGGTCCAAGTGTATCCTAGCCCAAGGCGCCCGTGGTGGTTCCCATTCCTGCACGGGTGCAGCAGGGGGAGCTGGGCGAGTAGCTTGGCAAGTGCGGCAGCGAGCTACACAGTCTTCGACCTGTTGGTCAAAGTTAGGCCACCACACGTAGCTCCTGCCGAGAGCCTTCATCCGCACCACCCCCGGGTGGGCTGCGTGAAGACCAGCCAAGACTTGGTTTCTGAGGGCCGTGGGCACGATTACTCTATTTCCCCATAAGAGGCAGCCCTGGAGGACTGACAGCTCATGGCGTCTGCGGAAGAAGGGCATAAATTCAGCAGACTCATGATTGTCAGGCCAGCCCCTGCGCACCCAATCCAGGACCCGAGAAAGAACCGGGTCAACTGATGATCGGGCCCGCACATCATCCGCAGTGAGCAGGGAAGGCAGGTCATCAACGAGAAGAACTGGTGCTGTGGGGGCGGGGTCACCGACAGGCAAGGGAAGCGGACAGCGGCTGAGGGCATCAGCGTGGGCAATAGCCTTACCCGGTTTGTATGACAATTGGTACGAGTAAGCGGAAAGGAATTCCACCCAACGCGACATGCGCGGCGACAATATTTGGGGAGTCTGCCTGTCACCAGCCAACAACCCTAAAAGAGGCTTATGGTCAGTGACCAGGTAAAAAAACCTACCATAGATGTAATCATGGAATCGTTTGATTCCAGCTACAGCCGCCAAAGCCTCACGGTCGAGCTGGCTGTAGTTCCTCTCAGCATGCGACAAAGTCCTGGAGTAGTAAGCGATGGGAGCCTCCGCTCCAGATGGCAAAATATGACTCAGGACAGCCCCTACCCCGTAGGGAGAGGCGTCGCACGTCAAGGACAGAGGCAGCGAGCCATCGTACTGTACCAGGACAGAGTCGGATGAAAGAAGTTCTTTGACTGCCTGGAACGAAGCGGCAGCATGCTTGTCCCAGCACCAAGGGGTTTTGGAATCCAGGAGCCGATGGAGGGGCTCCGCAACAGAGGCCTTGTGCGGTAGAAAAATGGCGTAAAAATTAAGAAGGCCAAGGAACGCTTGCAGTTGTGCCTTGGATGTGGGTGCAGGGGCGTGCTTAATAGCCGCTACCTTGGCAGGGGCCGGGTGAATGCCAGAAGCATCAATAAGGAATCCTAAAAATTCCACCTGGGAAACCCCCAAGCGACACTTCTCTTTTTTTAATTTTAGCCCCGCCTTCCTGATCCTGGAGAGTACAGCCCTGAGTTTAAGGATGAGGTCGTTCTGATCAGCAGCCGCTATCAGAACGTCATCAAAGTAGGGAACTACACCTCCTAACCCATGGAGCAGTCGCTCCATGAGGCTCTGGAAGATTCCTGGGGCCACGCTAACACCAAATTGCAACCGGTTGCACTTAAAAGCGCCCCGGTGTGTGATGATTGTTTGAGCCATAGCCGTGGAACTATCAACAGGAAGTTGCTGATAGGCCTGGGCTAGGTCCAGCTTGGCGAAAACCTTCCCTCGGCCCAAGGAGTGAAGCAAGTGCTGAACCACTGGCACTGGGTAGTGGTTAGTTTGGAGGGCCCTATTTAAAGTCGCCTTGTAATCAGCACATATCCTAATTGAACCGTCCTGTTTCAGGGGAATTACAATAGGGGTCTCCCAGTTGGCATGCTCTACTGGTTGTAGGACCCCCTGAGCGATGAGCTTATCCAACTCCTTGTCAACCCTGGGCCGCAGCGCCAAGGGCACCCTCCGCGGCTTGAGCCTAATAGGTGCTACCTGGGGGTCTAAATTAAAGGAAATAGGGAGGCCCTTGTATTTTCCCAGGCGGCCATCAAATACATCTGCAAATTCCTGAAGAATGATATCTGATATATTAGACCTCATGGAGTGGACCCCAGAAATACCCAAATGGAGGGCAGCAAACCAATCAAGGCCCAATAATGAAGGGAGGCTGTTCTTAACAATGACAAGGGCCAGATGGCCCGAAAATGACCCATAGGAAACATGGAAAGACCCACAACCCAAAGTTGGAATGGCATTCCCCTGATAGTCCCTTAACACAATGTGACAAGGCTGCAGCCGCCGTTTCTGAATAGTGGGCAACAGAGCCTTGAGTGTGGGCCAAGCAATCAGCGACCTGGAGGATCCCGTGTCCACTTCCATTTTACAGGGAACACCCTCCAGCTGGACAGTCACGTGAATCTTACTGTCAGAGAACGGGGAGGATGCGTGGCTGATGGCAACTGCAGCCACCTCAGCATCTTGGGAAATCGCGAAAGAGTTGCCCTCTCTCCCTCTCTCCTTCTCACGGCGGCCCGAATGCCCGCTCTTCTGTCGCTTGTAACTCGGCTCCCCAGCGGTAGACGCGGCAGGAAACACGGCGCGGCAGACCCTTGACAAGTGCCCACGCTTCTGGCAACGCCGGCAGACGGCAGTTTTAAACTTGCATTCTGATCGATTGTGTGAACCGCCACAGCCCAAGCAACAGCCTTGGAGATTCTTGGGTGCAGGAGACCACGTCTTGCGCTGGATGGACTTGAGGCGGCTGACATCATCGCCACGATTCCCATTGTCGTCAAAATCTGCCGCCCCGAAATTAACGGAAGAATGGCCTGCCGACCCCGACTGGAAACGCTGAATTTCGGCTGCAGACTTGGCGGACATCTCGGTGGCCCGCGCCTCGTCCAGCGCGATGGAAAGAGTTAACTCGGGACGGGCCAGCAGCCTCTCCTGCAGCTTCAGATTTCTCACCCCACATACTAACTGATCGAGGAGCATCTCATCCAGCTCCCGAAACTCACAATGCCGAGCAGCCGTTCTTAGCGCTGACACGTATTCGTTTATAGACTCTCCCTCTCTTTGTGCCCTCTGATGAAATGCGTGGCGCCGCGCGATCTTTGATGGGGCAGGAGAGTAGTGATGCTTGAGTTTCTCCATAAGCGTCTCCCACGGCATTGTGAAAACTGGCTGAGGTGCGGCCAAAGACCTGGCTGTCCCGAAAACTTCTCTGCCACAAGCGCTAAGGAAATAGCCCCGCTTCCTGGCACTGGACACCTCAGAGAGATCATTGGCCTGTAGAAAGCACTCAAATCTCTCGAGGTAATCTTCCCAGGTTTCTGACGCACTGTCAAATGGGGTAAACGCGGGGAGCCCCGATGTCATTTTTGGGAATTTCCTTACTAGCGGCTCCCTGGTAATCAGCAACCGTCGCCTCACGACGATCCCACCTTCGTCGCCAGTGTAAAATATGTGGGCAAACACTGACAGAGGCTTGGTTGCTCTAACTCAACTTTATTTAAAATCAACTACAACAATAATAACCCACAAGTCAGAGTCTGACAGCCGCTTAAATACTCCGCTGTCAGAAACTGTTCAACCAATCAGGAGGGAGGGATTTCCCTCCTTTTCAGCTGCTCGCGCCAGAACCAATCACAAAGCCTGGCAACAGACCGGAGGCTGTTAGAACTGTAAATATGCCGACATAACACTTGACAATGTTGGCGAGAAAGGTCGTAAAATGGGGCAAAACTCACTTAACTGTTTTAGCAATGGAAATTTGGGGCTCAATTGTTTTTATAAGCCGAGGACTCTCTGTACTGCCTGGCCCTTCCTGTTGGCCTGTTTCTGGCCTCCCAGGCCAAATCTGTTGACAAGCCTCTTCAAAAGCCTGACTGTTGCTGGATAATCCCTGGATAATCCCTGGTTTTGACTCCTCAGGTGCTGCTGACTCTCCTAGCCTTGTCAAGGCCTTCTTTGCGCCTATATCACCTGCTGTAATTTCAGGCACATCTAGCCAGCTACTATTTCTATTAGATTTCAACTGCTTAAGCTATTTAGCTTAAAGGGAAACATACTCTTCATCTCCTTAAAATATTTATTTCATATTGTGTCTCCAAGCAGCCCAAATCTGGAAACCAAATCTGCATGCCTCCCCTCTCTCTCATGTTCTTTTGTTTTATTCACATACACACACACATGCAAACCTAGGCTGGAAATTTCTGCTTTTCTCTCCACAGTAACATTGGTGTAAGCAGGTGGAGAATGTATAAAGCAATAGGGAAGGGAGGAGCTGTGAGGAATTTCTTTCACGTCAAGCTAGACCTTTTCCTTTTAAAGTGCCCTTATGGTGCACAAAAGCATAAATGGATCTAAACATCCCATGGGCATGCGGTAAACCAGTATTTCAATTTCTTTGGGCTCTGTTCCAAGAGCAATCCTGGAAAAATGAAATTATAAAGACACTTTTGCATCTAAAACTAAAGCTAAAACTGTTAGAGAATTTAATCCTGTTTTCTCATTATATAGCAGTGATCTTCACAACACATTGTATTATAAAATAGTCATCCAGTTCGGGAATGTATGTCATAGGTCCGTGATGACGAACCTATGGCATGCGTGCCAGAGGTGACACGCAGCACCCTCTCTGTGGGCATGCGAGCCATTGCCCCAGTTCAGCTCTGCCGTGCATGCGCGGACACCTCCAGCTGGTCTTTGGGTCTCTGCCGTGCATGCGCAGGATGGGGTACATGGGGGGGGGGGCACACACGCATGTACGGGGAGCACTTGCGGGGCCCCACAGGCACATTGCATTTGGGGTGTTCAGCGTGCACGCACACATTCACTCACGCACGTACGCACTTTGGACACTCGGTCCAGAAAAGGTTAGCCATCACTGTCATAGGTAAACAATTTTTTTTTATTTGTTGATTTGTTTTTCTTCATGCTCAGTTGAATCTTAGTAAGACAAAGAAACAGTTTCAAATTGTCCGGCTCTGATTCAGTTCCAGTGACTGCTCTACTTTATATAAGGTCACATTGAGGACTGGTAATTGTCCTGGATTACAACCCTTAATAGAGCAGTATAGACTGGAGCTCCCATTGTATCTTATCCTGGTCCAGGAAAGCCTGGCAGTAGTCAGTTACATCCTTATCACCACATGTTTAAAATACTCTATGCCTTATAAAATGAATCAGAAATTAAAACTGATACAGAGCATACTAAGGGAGGACATCTGTTACATCTTAAATCACAGTGTTGTAGCCGTACTGATTGGCAATAGCCTTCTGGGACCAATTCATAATGCTAGTTTTCATGTTTAAAGTTCCATTTGGAGATCTGATGACATCGATCTGATGAAGTGGATTGGGAGCCATGGAAGTTTATGTGAAAATAAATCTGTTAATCCCTAGGCATCTGGAAGTTACATTTTTGGCCTATATTTGGCACCTGGTAACTACAAGATTAGCATCAAAGGGACATTATTGAGTTTAGAGGATGCTTGCTAAAAGTTTAAATCATCTTGATTTTTTTTTCATCTTTTTCAATGAAAAATAGAAATTGGTGTTATCTTATTTGTTGCCAGATTTTAATAATGTGGTCTTACGAAATGCTCAAGGAGTTGGAAAATATACTAAAAGCTGCATTCCAAAAACTCACAAAGAGGATGCACAGGTAGTTATGCTAGGCAAGAAGCAGAAAATTGGGTATAATTGTTGTCTTCTTAAAGTAAGCAGAAATATTTATCTTCTTGTGAGATAAATTTGTGGAACCAACTATTCATTTAGAATTTATTCAAATTGAGAGATTCTTTCACTTTTTTTCCGAAACAGCCAATTTATTGAGAATGGGTGAGTACATCTGTCCACTCAGCAGCTGGAAGCTGTCTGCTTTGAAGTGTGAGAGTAGAGCTGGTATGTAGATTGATTCCAGCAGTTTTAGGCTCTCTTGCTGTATTAGGTTAGTAAATCAGCTTTAAATGACCATATTTCATTTCATTGTATTATTAAGTTTATAGCTTGTGTTCTTATATAAGCATTTCAGGCTATTAACAACAAGTAAAACAAATACAGTATATAAAATGTGACATTAAAGTAAGCAAAAGGAATTAAGTTTTTTTAATCTGTGCAGATTACATTCTGATCGTTATCGTGTTGCTTTCCTATGCACAAAGTGTTTCTTGATTCTGCCAGAAAACTTAGTATTCATTCTTTTTTTTCCTCCCCAGATGTTCTACAACAGATCTGAATGTTGCTCTCAATGAATGTATGGTAGCTGTGAATTTCTTTCTGAATAACAAGTTCCAAGATGCCCTTGCTTCTCTACAAACTAAGTGAGCCACTGCTTCTATCTTCCCTCTTCTGGTTAGGATCAGCATATATAATTATAGGATTTAGATTCAGGAATGTCTTAAGAATTTCAAACATTTTGATAGTAACAGCAGTTAGTAACAGCTAACATGGATTTGTCAACAATAAATTCTGGTAAATTACTCTCCTGGGTTTAATGTAATTTACTGGATTGCATGGATATATTAAATGAAGTGTATATTGATTATAACAAAACATTTGAATAGGTGTCCTTAACTACCTAGTATATGACAAACATATAATAATAGTATTAAGTAGATTTACACCTAATTGCAGAAGTTGTCTCAAAGATTATGCTCCCTATGCACTTCCAAGTGTCTCGACAAACTAGAAAGAATATTTGAATATGAAATTGCATTGCTGTCTTCAAGGTCTAGCATGCTTTTATTAATGATTTTGGTCAGAACTGAGGAATCTGAGCTATGGAATCTGCAGAATGACAGTGACTTCAGAATGCTGGTCTTGACCAGATGATCAAAGCCCAGTAACATTTTACATGTGTGCGATGCACATTTAAAGAGAATGGATTTAAATTGCCTAATTGTGCTTATCCTTCTGAGGTAGTTGATCTGACCCTAAAGATACCCTGGTCTATAGCCAACAGGGACACATAGGTGGCCCTTCATTTCCATTCCTCCAAAACTTGATTGAACTAATGACATGTTTCTCCTGCTATTTTAAATTAAGAAACATGAACATTGTAGTATAATGTTATACATACAGCATTGTTAAGAAAAAATAAGGAAAAAATTCCCGAATCCTAGTAAAAATGGAAAATCTCAATATTTTACCATCCTCTCTTTTAAATCTTAAATCTTCTTTTTATAGAAAAATGAGAATCTGATTTTCCCTTATAAAATTAGCAATTTTAAACCTTACTTTCTTGAAATTAGGAAACTAGAGCTCCCAGAAATTAGTATTAATTAGAACTGCTAGGTGAAGATTTTTGGTAGCCTATTGTTTAATTATTCACCAGTGATAAAACTGTTCAGATGTTTGTATCCCAATATCAGTAATATTCTAAGACAGAATTGTTGTGTTGCAATTTACGAATATCATGTTTGCAAATCTGCATATGAACCATAGGGTTTACAATACATCTATTAGAATCAATTTGGCATCAGAGTTAAATTATCTGTTAACCTGTGTACATCCCAAATGTACTGAAACAACTCCATACTTTCTGTACTTTATTTGTAAACTGATTTTTCTATAAGCAAAAAACATTTTTGATATATTTTTTCTCAAATATGTACATTTTATATGTATTTCTTCTGATGTATCATTTCTATAGATGTGTTGTAAAAATCTGAATAATGGAAACTTTGGGATATTTCAATATTCCCAAGGTTCAAATACATATTTTGAAATACATAATTTGCGTATAGTTAAATGCACTAAAAACACACTGAATGATATAAAAACAGACAATAAAGGTGACGATTATGATAACATGTAAAGTTAGATTATGATATAGATTATGATTTTGTCTGGGAGAATTTTCTGTGTCTTATTTGAAGCTGTTTATATTTCCTATTTGGTTGCAAACAAATACAAATAAATTTAAAAAGGTATTTATACAGAATTTAAACAGTGATATATATATATAAATCTGGAGAACTGGATATAAATTTTGGTATACTTTACCGTACTGGGATGGTACTGTATCAGTTTCTATTGATACAGAACCTGTGGAAAGTCACTGATTGGTGTAGAGCGAAGACGCATATTGACATTGTGTGTTCTGGGGAAAAACATGAATCATGTTATATTGTGGAGAATGTTAAAAGCAAATGATAACAATAACTATACTGAAGTATTGAGAAGATAGCTTTAAATGCTTTCATTAATTTATTGGATTGGTAAGGAAGACTAAATAGGAAGAACAGATGTTTTATTGTACCTCATGATACATAAAATGTCTAAATATATTGACCCATGTTGTGTGGCTGTAGTATTATTATCCTTCTCATCTTATCTATTACCTCTCTTATTGGTATCATTATTATTATGAT